CCAGTTTTTTTTTTTCTTTATTGATTTTTTTTACAGAGAGGAAGGGAGAAGGATAAAATTAGAAACATCAGTGAGAAAGAAGCATGGATTCAGCTGCCTCCCTGTACACTCCCTAATGGGGATGTGCCCGCAACCAAGGTACATGCCCTTGACAGGAATCGAACCTGGGACCTTTCAGGCCGACACTCTATCCACTGAGTCAAACCAGTTAGGGCTAGAATTATGAATTTACTAGGTCATCTGAAAACCCAGATGGGCTGAGCCCCAAATGGCAACAGCCCCCAAAGACTGGGAGTCAGAGATTTTTAAAGGACTCTAGGTGGGTTTTTTCTGGCCGGATAATTTTCTGGGCAGGTCAGGATTCTGGGAAGCTTTGGAGGGGAGAGATAATGGTCTTAGCAACTGAAATGTGGTCTAAGCAAGAGGGAATGTCCATTGTGAAGTGGCCTACAGGTCAGTTCCCAGGGGAGGGGATATCAATTCAATTATTTGATCAGAACTTATGCTTAGGAGTGGAATTGTTGGGTCAAATAACTATATTTAACTTTCTGAAGGAGCTACCAAATTATTTTCCAAGGTGGCTGTACCATTTTACATTTCCATGAGCAATGTATAAAGTTCTCCATATCCTTGCCAGCACTGTTATTGTCCATATTATTACAGTAATCTTAGTGGATGTGAAGAAGTTTCAATGTGTGTTTTTTTTTTTTTCTGTGTGGTTTTGATTTGCATTTTCCTAATGACTAATGACAATGACGTTGAGCATCTTTTATGTGCTTATTGACCATTTGTATATTTTCTTTGTAGTACTATTAAAATCCTTTGCCCATTTTAGAATTGGGTTTTATATCTTATTATTAAGTTGTAAGAGTTCTTTATATTCTCTGGATACTAGTCTCATATCTTTCCACTTTCCTGTTGGTGTTTTTTAAAACACAACTATTTTAAATTTTAGTAAAGCCTAATTTATCAATTTTTCCTTTTTTTGTTTGTGGTTTTGGTTTCATATCTAAGAAACCATTGCCTAAACCAAGGTCGTGAAGATTAAACCCTATATCTTCTCGTAAGAATTCTACAATTTTAGTTAGCTCTTACATTAAGCTTATTCATTTTGAGTTAATTTTTGTGAATGGGATGAGGTAGGGTATAGATTTATCCTTTTGCATGTGAATATCCAGTTGTCCCAACACCATTTAGTAAATACAAAAGAAAAACCTCTTCTTGCCCTGGCCAGTGCTGCTAAGTGGTTAGAGCATTGGCCCTTCCACCAAAGGGTTGAGGGTTTTGTTCTTAGTCAGCGGGATGTACCTGAGTTTTGGGCTAATTTCCCACCCCAAAAGATGCATGCAGGAGGCAACCAATCGATGTATCTCTCTCACATTGATGTTTCTCTCTCTTCCTTACTTTCTAAAAGTCAATTTAAAGAATCATTTCCTCATAAATGTATGGGTTTATTTCTGAACTCTCAATTCTATTCCATTGACCTATAGGTTTCTCTCTTTTGTTGTTAATCCTTACCTAGTGTATTTTTCCATTGATTTTCAGAGAGAGTGAAAGGGAGAGGGAGGGACAGAGAGAGAAAAGTCGGCATGAGAGAGACATCGGTTGATTATCTCCTGCACATGCCAGGGATAGATCCTGCAACTGAGCTAGGTGCCCGAATTGAACTGGGACCCTTCTGCTCACATGTCGACTCTATCCACTGAGCCATACTGGTGAGGGCTGTTTATCTCTTTTAATCTTTTTAAAAATATATATATATTTATTGTTTTTTTACAGAGAGGAAGAGAAAGGGACAGAGAGTTAGAAACATCAATGAGAGAGAATCATCGATCAGCTGCCTCCTGCACACCCCCTAGTGGGAATGTGCCTGCAACCAAGGTACATGTCCTTGACTGGAATAGAACTTGGGACCTTTCAGTCTGCAGGCTGACACTCTGTCCACTGAGCCAAACCAGTTTCTGCTATCTCTTTTAATCTTACAATAAATTGGCTCAAGCTTCATTCTTCATGTTATGAGGACAACAACATCCCTTCACTGTCAGAAGTCTGGGAATTCTCAGGGGCATACAGGGGTGGGTATGTGAAACAGTTTTTTCTTGTATTATTATGTATTTATTAATTATTGCATTATTTATTTGTGTTGTCTTCTTATTGTTGTTATTGTTTTGTACCCTTACTTGTGATTTACCTTTTAGGTAATGATGACTGGTAATTTAACCTACTTTTGCCCACCCCTGTGTTTTCACTCTATTACCTCTTGTACCAAATTCTTGTTTTCACTGAATTGATTCTCAGCTCTGGGTCTTGTCTTCTATGACCTAACCTAGACTTTCTCTCTTCATTTCAACTTTCCCTAAACACCACCTTCATTCTTTCATCCCCTAGAGTACAATGAACACAACAATGTGTGGCAAGCTTCCACTCAGGATTTCAGTAAACGAATGGAGAATACTGCAAAGTTCATATGGGTAGCAACTAAGAGACAATTTGATCATTGCCTAAAAGTGCAGCAGCCAGTCTTTACGATGGGAACTTTTTGTGTCTCCTTTAGGTCCTGATTGATGGACATCTTCTGGGCACTCTTGCCTCCTGGATGTCTTTCTCCTCTCTTCTCTACAAGCCAACCTCCAACTGCCACTCGTCTTCCTTTTCCTATTCAGTTCTTTCCTTGACCTCACCAAGATTCCCAGCCTCAACCTTTTCATTAAGAAGGCCCAGACCTAGCTGGTTTGGCTTAGTGGATGGAGCACTTGCCTGCAGACTGAAGGGTCCGGGTTCAATTCCAGTCAAGAGCACATCCTGGATTATGGGCTCGATCCCCAGTAGGTGGCATGCAGGAAGCAGCCAATCAATGATTCTCTCTCATCATTGATGTTTCTATCTCTCCCTCTCTCTTTGAAATCAATAAAAAAATATATTAAAAAAAAAAGCCCATGAAATTTCTTTCCTTGAGCTGGTTCCCCCAACTGAGCTGTCATCTGACATAAACACTGCCCCTTCCCTAGAGTGAGGAAGCATAGCTGTCATTTTTTTATTCCTGTACATATCTCTCTTGTCTGCAGCTTCCTCAAGGGAGAACCTGAACTACTCTATCTCTAAAGCTCTTCCCAGTCCTCATGTCCTATGGAAATTGCCAAATCCATTTAATTACTAAATGGAGGATTAAGCTTGGTAGAGATTGCTTAGAGAGGAAAAGGAAAGATGGGGGAATTCTCCTTTCCCTCCGGCTTCAGCTTCCCTGGTTCGATTGTGAACATGAGCACCACTGCTACAGAGATGCAGAGCAGAATCCCAGAAATACTTTTCAGACCCTTTTGGTTCAGGAGGGTGACCCACAGCATTACTATGGAATGTCAGTCTTGAGGATTCAGATTTCAATAGCCTTCAGTGAATTCCCACCGTGAGTCAGGCACTTTTTTGGTGCTTTTAAACACAGAACCTCATGTAATCACAACAGTCCTGTGAAGAGAGTTTTATTGGCTCATCTTTTTAAAAATATTTTTTTATTGGTTTTAGAGAGGAAGGGAGAGGGGATAGAAACACCCCTACAGCCGAAACCGGTTTGGCTCAGTGGATAGAGCGTCGGCCTGCGGACTGGAAGGTTCCGGGTTCGATTCCGGTCAAGGGCATGTGCCTTGGTTTCAGGCACATCCCCAGTAGAGGGTGTGCAGGAGGCGGCTGATCGATGATTCTCTCATTGATTCATCAATGTTTCTAACTCTCTATCCCTCTCTCTTCCTCTCTGTGAAAAATAAATAAAATATATATTTAAAAAAAAGGAAAGAAAAAAAAGAAACACCCTTACAGGGGATCCAGCCTGCAACCCAGCATGTGCCCTTGACTGGAATCTGAACCGGGGACGCTTTAGTCTGCAGGTGGATGCTCTATCCACTGAACCAAACCACTGGGGCTACCTCAATTTTAAGGATAACAAAATGATGCTCATCCAGAGACCAGGTAGCTATCTCAAGGTCACACAGCCAGGAAGAGTGGGGGTGCGCGTAGAGCCACAAGGATGATTATCCCTTGGAAGGTCCAGTTAGAGATGGAAAAATCTGGTCAGGACTGCAAACTGGATGCCTACAGGGCCCAGGCAGGCAACACCAAGGAGTGAGTGTCCAGGTCTGAGAAAACAGGAGCAGTGGCAAATGCTCATCACTGGAAGGTATGCCTTGTAGGAAGGTGGGTCTCATGTGGCCAGTGTTGATTTCTCCCTAGATGCAGGAAATCCAGATTTTGTGTTTAATATCCCTTTCCCTCCCTCTTCTTGGTTGTCATGGTGGTAGTGGAGGAGGGACAGAGTTTTCTTCCAGTTCTTTTTAAATATATTTTATTGATTTTAGAGAGGGAGAGGGTGATAGAAACATCAATGATGAGAGAGAATCATTGACCGGCTGCCTCCTGCACACCCCCTACTGGGAATTGAGCCTACAACCCAGGCCCGTGCCCTTGGCTGGAACCCAACCTGGGACCTTTCAGTCCGCTGGCTGACGCTCTAGCCATTGAGCCAAACTAGCTAGGGCCAGTTCTTAAATATAGAAGAGAAACCCAAAGCAAAACATCAGTTACACAGACTTACACTACATTCATTTGATGGCTTCTTCAGCTTCCAGCCGGAAATGGGGCTAAGGACCCTTCCCTGCCTGCATAATCCCAGCCAGTGGCCAGAGAGAAAGTGCTTGAGTTAGACAGGAAAGGAGACCTACGTTTGTCCTGAAGTTAAGAGTCTTGGGGGGAGGGTATTGGTCCTGGGTCCGCAGTGGCACCAATGACTCTGAGTCCGAGGTTCCGGCTTCCGGTATCGGGAACAGGCCTCCTGCAACGCCGGGCACCCGCCGAAGGCACGCCCTTCCGCACTTCCGGCGCGCGACCCGGAAGCGGAAGGGAGCTCGTTTCTCTTTGCCTCCGGAGCGTCTTCCCTGCGTTGGTCGGCGGAGCAGAGCTCTGAGCGTGCCGTTTAGGGGAGCGGGTCGCGGAGCCCCAGAGCAGCCGCCGCCATGGCGGATGTGACCGCCCGGAGCCTGCAGTACGAGTACAAGGCGGTGCGTGGGGGCTCGCGGAGCCCAGCGGGGAGCCGGAGGCTGGGGAAAGCGGTTTCAGCCTGAAGGCCTAGGAGGACCACGAAGGCGGGGGGAGATCCGATCTCTCAGCGCTGTACCCGCCCCCTCCCAGATGTCACCCCCAGCATGCCCAGCACTTTCCCAGGGTGGGATGGGGCAGCGTTAGGAGCCGCATTGGTCTACTGATTTGCTCGCCCTTTGCTCACGCGCGCTCGCTCTCCTTCAGGAAAACATCTTTCTATTCCGACTAGTGATCGTCAGTGCTTAGTCGCTCTGATTTTTACTTCCTTTGTTATCCGCTGGTGTACTTGTGATGTAGGAATTGGCTTTGCTCACGTCGGAGCTTTGATAATATTGTGATCTGTTCCAGAACTCGAATCTTGTACTCCAAGCTGACCGTTCTCTCATTGATCGGACCCGCCGGGATGAACCCACAGGAGAGGTGCTATCCCTGGTTGGGAAGCTGGAGGGCACCCGGATGGGAGATAAGGCTCAACGGACCAAACCACAGATGCAGGAGGAAAGAAGAGCCAAGTGAGTACCCAGGGGAGAATGATTTTTTCTTTATATGCAAAGACCATCTTCCTTTGAGCAATTGAGCAGCATTTTTGCTGAAATGCTGGGTACAGGATGAGACATCCGTGGCATTAAAACAACACAGTGAAGGTAAAAACAGCATACATTTACAAGTGTCCCTTAGGGGAAAACAACTTTTAGACAAAAGTATTTGCTGTCCCTTTTTTCTTCTCTTTTTTAAGGAAGTTTAAGGAAGATGGCGGAATTCACCTTATGCCCTTCTTTTAAGTAATTTTTAAAAGTGATTTAAGTGGAAACAGGTGTTTGCAACTTATCAGGTGTAAATGACCCTATGCAAACAGCAGCCAGCTAAAACCCTTAGTGATACTTGAGCTTTGGTTTGCTACCAAAACTACCCAAAAAGTTAGTTTATATTTGGCACAGTACAATTTATCTAACTCTATACAGTTTTTTTACAAGCTGTATATGAGAAGAATCTCTAAAATCAGTTAATGCATCAAATAAACTCTATGGTCTTTGGACATATAGAAAAATAAAATAAAATCCTGTTGTCTTCAGCAGCCTACAAACAAGAGTTTCTGAACATGTGGACAAATCATTTTTCAAATGCACCCTTGATTGTAGTGTTTAAGTCCATACACATGCAATCAGTACTGAATCCCAAATACATTAAAAATAGGGAAAAAATTAATTTGTTCAATGCCGAAGAAATTCAGAGTACACTTTTATCTTTGATCTGTCTTCTTCCCATGATTCTCTAAATCAGAGGTAGGGAACATCTGGCTCTGGGGCTATATAAGGCCCGTAACATCACTTGGTCTGGCCCTGCCAAGGCAGTAGGAGTAAGTTTATTAAATGTTTGGCCAAGCATAGCAACCTAATTTTTAAGTTGGTAATTTTGTATGTCCTGAGAATGATGCTATAAGTATCCAATGGCCCTTGGCAGAAGAAAGGTTCCCCAACCCTGTTCTAAATCATGAAAGGTTACATATAAATATATGGATATGTACTTAGATGTATATATAGACATATAGGTAAGTGACATACATAGAAGCTATTGAAACATCACTTTTCTAGAGTTTGCTTTACCATGCTGTATAAATATTTCAATATTTTAAGTCATTCTGAATTATATAAAAGGTTTCAGCACAGTAAGAGGATATAATGGTTATTTTTCTTTAGTGAAAAGATAAATTAAAATCATTGTTATAAAATGCCCCCAGGAGTAAATAGAGAAGTCAACACATTTGAAATTTTAAACTCCACATACCCAACTCCAGTTCATTGCTAATTTTATTTATTTGTTTATTGTCTTTATTATTGAAAGTATTACATATGTCCCAAGGGCTGAGGCCATGGCCATTGCTGGTGCTGACAGGACACTGACCACCGTACAGTGTGGGGTGGAGTCCCAACTTGTAGACCTTTTTCTAACATATGCTTTTTTGGTCCATAGAGAGATTTTAATTTTCTTTCTGATATTTTCAAGACCCTTGCTGTCCCCTTGTCTCAGTAACATTTTTTTTCCATTACTAACTTCCTACCACTTCTTCCTTCTGCTGTTTTCCAATTTCTACTTTTATAAAGTTTATAAACTAATATTCAAGCATCCATGGTATAAATAACAGGTTTTCTGTTATTTTTTACTTTTTTTGAGGATATGTTTTAAACTTAAAAACTCATTCTACTCCATCTCACCCCTGTTTTTTCTCCTCCCATGAAGTCTCAAAAATTTGTAGGCTCAGTTTTGATTAAAGTAGTTACGTTTGAAATAAGTTAATGCATTATTGGTCTTCTACTTTGCAAAATATGACTTCTTTACCCATTCTGTTGTAATTTGTTGGGCCTCAATGGCAGTAGATTCCTTTGGAGCTACCGTTGCTCTGGCTAGAAAATTTATCTGAAACACCAGATATTACCTGTGTTCCATGGAGCTGAGGAGAGGAGCGGGGCCTGACACAGTCTTGCCCTTGGGAGGGAAGGTTCTGCCTGTTGACCATCACGCTGTGTGTCCGTTAGGCGAAGAAAGCGTGACGAGGACCGGCACGACATCAACAAGATGAAGGGGTACACTCTGCTCTCGGAGGGCATTGATGAGATGGTGGGCATCATCTATAAGCCCAAAACCAAAGAAACCCGGGAGACGTACGAAGTGCTGCTCAGCTTCATCCAGGCTGCCCTTGGGGACCAGGTGAGGCAGCCAGAGGGTGAAGTCATGGTTCTGGAGAGGGAGGGAAAGGTGGAGAAAGATATAAATATCATTGATGAGAGATAATAATAGATTGACTGCCTCTTGCATGCCCCCTATTGGGGATCAAGCCCACAACCATAGCCCTGACCGGGAATTGAACTCTTTGTTCATGGTTTGATGATCAACCACTGAGCACACTGGTGGGCACTGGTGGCATTTTTCATTAATGCTAATGAAAATGATCAGAACCTCTTATACAGGTTTAAAAGGGGTGTGACTCTTCACGTCTAGTTGTCACATAAAGCTGGACTGTGGTGGGCTGCCTCTCTGTTCTAAATGTTTTTATTGTTTTGTGTGTCTTTTTGTGACCAGCCACGTGATATTCTTTGTGGGGCAGCTGATGAAGTTCTAGCTGTCCTAAAGAATGAAAAGCTTCGTGACAAGGAAAGGAGAAAGGAGATTGACCTGTTGCTGGGGCAGACAGATGATACCAGATACCATGTGCTGGTGAACTTGGGCAAGAAGATCACAGACTATGGCGGAGACAAGGAAATCCAGAATATGGGTAATGAGCTTATTATGTCCTGCTCATATTAACTGACTGCTTGATGACCCCTAAATGTGGCCTTCTAGCTTCAGTCATTAAAACAGCTGGATGTGTCAGTTCCCATAACCTGTTTGGTGTGTTTTGAGGAGTTATGATTGATGCATACCGGAATCCTGATAACGGAAGCCATTTCTTACTCTTTTATTATATAGAATACTAGAGGCCCAGTGCACGCCCTCTGGCAGTCTGGGATCCCTTGGGGGATGTCTGCCTGCCATGGAGGCAGGAGAAGCTCCAACCAACTGCAGCTGTGCTTGCCAGGAGCCCGGCTTCTGGCTGAGCGGTGCTCCCGCTTTGGGAGTGCACTAACCACCGGTGTGCAGCTCCTACATTGAGCGTCTGCCCACTGGTGATCAGTGTGCATCATAGTGACCTGTTGTTCCGCCATGCGGTTGGTTTGCATATTAGGGCTTTATATAGGATGGGATGGGGGAAGGGGATTGGGCAGAGCCTGGGAGACTCAATTAGTTGAGCAGGCAGAGCAGGTCACATCCAAGGCTGGCTGGTCAGAGCAGGCCTCATTGTTGGCAGTACAGCTGACTCTCTTGTGTTGATCCTTAAGTGTCTGTGAGTCCTTAGACCCGACATCTGTCCTGAGGAGAGGCCAGTCATGCATTTGCGGAGAAAAGGCGCTCTGTAGTGCCTCATTCATTACTGTTTCTCTAATCCCTCCTTGTTTCAGATGACAACATTGATGAGACCTATGGTGTGAATGTACAGTTTGAGTCTGATGAGGAGGTGAGTGTAAAACAAATGGACCTAGTTTATTCTTGTTCTTTGAAATTATCATCTTCAGGTTTTATAAAGCAAATTAAACTTATAAATCAATGCAGTAATTTATAATAAACTAAGTGCACCAGCAAAAAGAAAGATATACTGAAGGAGTATGCTGCCACATTTTAACTACATTTTAATCTTATTGTGATAATGTCCCACCAGTCAGTGCTGTGTCCTGCCAGTTTCAAAAGATGTACATTTGCCCAAGAGCATGGGCATGTTTTGTATGGTTGCTTTAAATAACGGTTGCAGTAGCCACTGAGGTTTATGACCTAATCATAATTGCTTGACTATAACTAAATAAGAAACAAGGGGGCTCTTGAAAAATCTTTGCAAAGTAGCCCTAGATTTCTCAGTGGTTGGATTTGGCTCATGAAGGGAAAATGCTGGCCTTGGAATGTATCCTAGGACGGGAAGAAGGGGCAGCACAGAAGAGTTGGAGAGGGCACCAAGCTGGGAGTCAGGAGGTCTGAATTTTGGTCCTGTATATTGGGCAGGTCATTTTGCTTCAGTTTCACTATCAAATGTGATGAGTGAAATAGTTGACTGCTAAGCTTCTTGCTGCAGTACAAGTAATAGAATTTCAGAGTTTAAGTAGCAATGCTTTGCTTGTAGAACTCATTCATCTAATACTTATTAAGTGTCTGCTTTAAACATAATACTGTGCCGAGTCCATAGTGTAGTGTGAGCCTGTGTGTAAGTAAAGACGGTGAGCATGCACTTCCAGATCCAAGCATGCTTCTGCAGAGCTCGTAGCTCCTGCTAGCTCCTTTTTACATACAGTATATTGATTGTGTGGTTATGAGGGACTGTGGTCCAGTTGGTTGCCTTTGTGGCGGCCTCCAGTGAAAAGCCGAAAAGAGAGTAGACGCACCTTATGAAGCCATGCCACAAGGACTTAGACTACTTGCATACCGAGGTTATCCCATTAAATGGACTCTGGATAAGGCTGGACCTGGTCCCAGTTGTGCTAACCAACCTTAAGTGACTCGGAAGAGGTTCTGTGGATATGTCAGAATCCGCTCCAAATCATGGGTTGGGTTTCGGCTCTTTCCACAGGAAGGCGATGAAGATGCTTACGGGGAAGTTCGAGAAGAGGCATCCGATGACGACATGGAAGGGGATGAGGCTGTGGTGCGCTGCACCCTCTCAGCTAATGTGAGTATGGTCTGCTCTTGCCCCAAGTCTGCAGGCCAGGTCCTTCCCATATCATTTATTGGGCTCCCTTTTTATTTCATTGTTTGTTTTTAGAGAGGGAGGAAGGGAGAAGGATAGAGAGATAGAAACATCGATCATCCTTCTACACTCCCCCTACTGGGGATTGAGCCTGCAACCTAGGCATGTGCCCTGACCAGGAATCGAAGTCGACCTTTTCATTCCTGATCATGCCCAACCATTGGGCCATACTAGCCGGGCTTGAGCTCCTTTTTTATAGTGTGAGCTGTAATAACATTTACGGTCTCTGTTTCCTTATTTGATTTTAGTCAGTCAACCTCCCTCCCAGGGGCAGGTATTGATGGGATAGGTTGATGAGTTTGGTGTGTTTCCAAACTCAGGGTGGCAGACCTTTCTTTCCCCGGGAAAGCTCTTTCCAGAGCTGGGCTGCGGGTGGCGAGTAGCGCTCCTCTGCAGGGGGAGGAAGTAGTCGGGCAGACAGTGGTGGTGAGCTCAGTGCCTGGTGCTTGTGCAGCTTGTAGCTTCTGGTGAGCTGATGAGTTCTAAGAAGAAGGATTTGCACCCTCGGGACATTGATGCGTTTTGGCTGCAGCGGCAGCTCAGTCGCTTCTACGATGACGCCATTGTATCGCAGAAGAAGGCAGACGAAGTGTTGGAGATCTTAAAGGTATGGCCAAGGTCATATATTTCCATTTAGAGTATCTTCGGGGATGGACAGTGTATGGAGCAGATGTCTGCGTCCCTAATCGTGGTGTTATCTTCTCTGCAGACGGCCAGCGATGACCGGGAGTGTGAGAACCAGCTGGTGCTGCTGCTCGGTTTCAATACGTTCGATTTTATTAAAGTGCTGCGGCAGCACAGGATGATGAGTGAGTCTCAGTGCCCTTCTGTAGCGGGCGTGCACGTGTGCCTGAGGCTGTTGTCATGGCTTCAGCACATGTTTCGTTCATTTCCTTTCTGCCCCACGGCCTAAAGTTGATTTCATTCACTGCCTCTCACCTTCTCTTCTTCTTTTGCTGTTGACAGTTTTATATTGCACCTTGCTGGCCAGTGCACAGAGTGAAGCTGAAAAGGAAAGGATCATGGGAAAGATGGAAGCTGATCCAGAGTTATCCAAGTTCCTCTACCAACTCCACGAGACGGAGAAGGAGGATCTGATCCGGGTAAGGGCTGGGCTGGCTTTTCTGTCCGAGTCTGGAGCTGGAGTGTTTGGTTTGGAAAAGAGGCATCAGTTAGAAGATACCAGCATAAAGCTAAATGCCTCCTAACTGGAAGATGAAGAAGTAAAGTATTTATCTAAATGTTTTGAGGTTTGTCAGTGGCACAGATAAGAACCGACAAGTTCACACTGTTGTGGTCGGGAGACCAGCCCTGCGGGCCCTTTCCTGTTTGTGCAGTAAATCATGGTATCTCCTAAAAGTAAAGGAAAGGACGTGTGTTTGCTGAAGAGGGAGAGCCGTCAATGCTGAATGGTTGACCGTCTGCTTTTGAAATCCCACATTATGCATTGTTGCTTTAAAGCCGTTTCTTGTTTCCATCATCTGGTGGCCCCCGGGGCAGGTATCTGAGCATAAGGACTGTCTTTCTGGTTTGGGATTGCTGGTCAGCAACCATGAGTCAAACTCAGCTAAGGAGGGACTGAGAAGGACCCGAACCCGGAGTGGTCATAAATCCTTGACCTTTTTCTTTCCCACTGCAGGAGGAGCGGTCCCGGAGGGAGCGGGTGCGGCAGTCCCGCATGGACACTGATCTGGAGACCATGGATCTGGACCAGGGCGGTGAGGTCGGTGTTCGGCCCCTGTCCAAGGCTGTGGTGGCGGAAGTGCCTTTGCTCGGCCTCCTCACTTTGTATTTCTGTTTTTCCTGCTGTCAGGCTTTGGCTCCGAGGCAGGTTCTGGACTTGGAGGACCTGGTTTTTACCCAAGGGAGCCACTTCATGGCCAACAAGCGCTGTCAGCTTCCAGACGGATCCTTCCGGCGCCAGCGCAAAGGCTACGAGGAGGTGCACGTGCCTGCTCTGAAGCCCAAGCCCTTCGGCTCCGAGGAAGTGAGTTCCTTGCTTCTCTCGGTTTTCTCCTCAACTCACCTCCCTTCCTGTTAGGATCTCAGCTCACTGACCACATGTGGCCTTGTCTCGTAGACAGTTTATTCCAGAAGTGGAAGCTTTCTGATTTTGAGCCCAGGGGACAATACTGGTCTGGCCTCCAGTGGGGAGTGCTCAGGGAGCTTGCCAAGAGATGTGGTCCTGGAGACCCTGCTCAGCGTAGGATTGAGTAGGATTATCTTTCTTCTTCCAGCAACTGCTTCCAGTGGAGAAGCTGCCCAAGTATGCCCAGGCCGGATTCGAGGGCTTCAAGACGCTGAACCGGATCCAGAGTAAGCTCTACCGGGCCGCCCTGGAGACAGACGAGAACCTGCTGCTGTGCGCTCCCACGGTAAGCACTGCCCGCTGCCGCTTTCTTAGGGAATGTGGTGTCTGTTTTTGGTGGCAAGAGGGTTCATCTCCACCCACACCCCCAATTCTTCATTCTTTGATGGAAGAGATGTCGAATGGGTGAATAAAGTTTTGGACATGCCCTAGTCTGTTTTGGTGGTAAGTCCACAGGAGTAAGTAAACGGGCCTCCTCATCCCCGGCCTCTGTCTCAGGGCGCCGGGAAGACCAACGTGGCCCTGATGTGCATGCTCCGCGAGATCGGGAAGCACATTAACCCGGACGGCACTATCAACGTGGACAACTTCAAGATCATCTACATCGCCCCGATGCGCTCCCTGGTGCAGGAGATGGTGGGCAGCTTTGGGAAGGTAAGGGTGGGCTCCTCCAGAAGGTGCTGTCTGCAGCGTCACTGCTTCCGGTGTCAGGGCGTCTCTGCAGTGCCTCAGCTGGCGTTTCCACTGCAGAGGTGGTACTTGGCCCAAGTACAGCGTGTTTCTGAACCAAGAATGTCTTTGGCCTTTTCTGGCCTTGGCAAGGGTGTGTCATCTTTCTGTCACCCTGTGCACAGCAGTTTTCTCCAGCTCTCCGGGGCACTGTGGGAGTAGCTGTGTGGCCCTCATGTGGCGGGGCTGATAAAGACTGCTGCTGCTAGCCCGGGTCCTGTGATTTGCACCTTTCCATTTCCCCCTGTGTGTGGCGCTCCCAGAGAGCCTTGCTTCACTTGCCCAAGTGTAAACTTGGATTTGTTCTTAGGTTGATCTAATTCACCTGCTGTTTCCTTGATGGGTTGATACCTACTGCCAATGCCCTGTGCCCAGACTTCTCAGACAGTTTGGTGCCAAGGCCCCCTGCAAGCATTCTTGCCTGACCTGCCTTTCCTCCACCAGCGCCTGGCCACATATGGCATCACTGTTGCAGAACTGACTGGTGACCACCAGCTGTGCAAGGAGGAGATCAGTGCCACTCAGATCATTGTCTGCACCCCTGAGAAGTGGGACATCATTACCCGCAAGGGCGGGGAGCGCACCTACACCCAGCTTGTGCGGCTCATCATTCTGGTAAGCAGGGGCACTTGTCTGGTTCAGAAACTGGTCTCCAGTCACTGGCCTTTGTTATGACCTCTGTTGTCAGCGTTGCTTTTACCATTAAATGAGAGTCTGCACTTCAGTGAGAATTTCCCAGTAGGTACACAGTGATTGCCATATTATTCTTTATAACTTTTTTATGTTTGAAATATTTTGAGAGATATGTAAACAGACAGAGGAAAAACTAATTGTGATCTCCCAGAACATCAAAGGACTTTATAAACAAATAGTCCGTTCCCAGAGGGAATGTGTGAGGAGTCAGGATGTTGTGTTCCATAGAAGCAGAAGTGCCCGGGACCAATGCCCGAGTGTGGCTGTAGTTTACGTTGTCTGGGAAAGCAGAAAGGAGAGCTCACGTCATGTTCAGTGATCCAGAGGAGGGCCGGCAAGCTTTGGCTGCTGGTTTTTGTCTGTTGGAACACAGCCTTTTATTTTAATTTTAAAATTTCTTTATTGATTAAGGTATTACATATATGTCCTTATTCTCCTATTGCCTCCCAACCCCCCATTTATGCCCCCATCCTCCTGTTGTCCACAGCCTTTTATTTTTATTTATTTATTTTTTTAAACATATTTTTTATTGATTTTTTACAGAGAGGAAGAGAGAGGGATAGAGAGTTAGAAACATCGATGAGAGAGAATCATCGATCAGCTGCCTCTTGCACTGCCCCCACTGGGGATGTGCCCGCAACCAAGGTACATGCCCTTGCCCGGAATCGAACCAGGGACCTTTCAGTCCGCAGGCCGACGCTCTATCCACTGAGCCAAACCGGTCCCGGCCATAGCCTTACTTTTAGTTGAGGTAGTGTTTATAGCTCCTTTTGTGCTGCCATGATTGTATTGAATATTTGTAATGAAGTGTGGCCCATAAGCCTGAAGTATTGACTATCTGGCCCTTAAAGGAAAATTTTGCTGACTCCTGCTTTGGAGCCTCGTTACTCAGTCTTCTTCTTCTTCTTTTTTTTTTTTTTTTTTAATATATTTTATTGATTTTTTTACAGAGAGGAAGAGAGGGATAGAGTTAGAAACATCGATGAGAGTCATCGATCAGCTGCCTCTTTCACATCTCCCACTGGGGATGTGCCCGCAACCAAGGTACATGTCCTTGACCGGAATCGAACCCGGGACCTTTCAGTCTGTAGGCCGATGCTCTATCCCCTGAGCCAAACCGGTTCTGGTTCTTTTTTTTCCCCCTGGCTCCTCAGTCTTTATAGAAATACAGTCCTGCCCTAGTTGGTTTGGCTCAGTGGATAGATTGTTGGCCTATGGACTGAAGGGTCCGGGTTTGATTCCAGTCAAGGCCATATGCCTGGGTTGCTGCCTTAATTCCCATGGGGAGAGTGTTAAGGAGCCCATCACTGATGTTTCTATCCCTCTTTCCCTCTCCCTTTAGCTCTGAAATAAATAAGAAAATATTTTTAAAAAAGAAATACAGAGTCCCTGCCCCACCCCAAAGTTACTGAAATGCAGTGTGATTTTAATAAGGTCCCCTGCTGCTTTGTGTTCAACCCGAAATGTGAGAAGCACTGCCCTGTGATCCGCCATTTGATACAGAGTGAGGGTGAAATCTCACCAGAGGTGAAGTCTTATTTGATATAAATGTGGTTTGATCAGAAGCTTCCTTTGCAGTGAAGAAATACACCTCTGGGTGAAGTTAGAACCACTTTATCTGAAGTATCAGATTTCCTTGTAGTAAAGCATTGTTTCACTGAACTGTGGCCAAGCAGCTCACGGGAGAGCATGTTATTTTGGGGGTGTTTCATGGTAAATTTTGTCTCATCATTGGTTTATCCAGGCTTGAGATCCCTTTTCTGGTCTTTATTTGGCAGACTGGGCGTGTACCAGAAAATGCGACTGCTCTTAGGAAAGCTCCATTTCTCCAGTCCTAGAGGTGCTCTCTCTCTCCTTTCCAGGATGAAATCCACCTCCTCCATGATGACAGAGGTCCTGTCTTGGAAGCGTTGGTGGCCAGGGCCATCCGAAACATTGAGATGACCCAAGAGGAAGTCAGACTCATCGGGCTGAGCGCCACTCTCCCCAACTACGAAGATGTGGCCACATTTTTGCGTGTTGATCCTGCCAAGGGCCTCTTCTACTTCGACAACAGGTATGAGAAGCGAGGGGGAAGTGTAGCCAGGTGACCTTCCCGTTGTCTTTTCCCTTTGCCCAGGAGCTCTGTTGGATTGGGTTTAGGAAGGGCCTTTGGGTTTTGATGTGGTGTAACCTGAAAAAGAGGAGAACTCCTGGGCAGTGAAGAGGACCATTTATTTTCTCAATATTTTGTGCCAGAAGCCTCATTTGTCTAACTGTTGGTCTTCTAGCTTCCGCCCAGTGCCTCTGGAACAGACCTATGTAGGCATCACAGAGAAAAAGGCTATCAAGCGTTTCCAGATCATGAATGAAATAGTCTACGAGAAGATCATGGAACACGCGGGGAAAAATCAGGTGTGTGTGTGGTTTCTTATATTTTTTGAACTCTGTTCTTTCAAATTCTTGATTTACTGATAATTAGACAAGATTGACAAAGATAAAGAGAGAAGACACAACACAAATCACCAATATCATAAATGAAATGGGATATTACACAAACTTTTGCTATTGAAAGCATAATAAAGGAATACTTTGACCACTTTTTGCACATAAATTTGACAGTTTGGAAGAAATGTTCCATTTTTTTCAAAACTACCAACTACCTGTGCTCAGACTTTTCAGACAGTTTGGTGCTAAGATGATATAACTTAGATGACAGAGGTAATCTGACTTGTGCTATAAGCCATTAAAGAAATTGAATGTGTAGTCTAAATTAAACTCCCAGAAAAGAAATCCCCAGGTGCAGATAATCAGTCTGTCTCTGTGTGGCCCAGGGTCCTTCCATAAAAGAGCTGTGCACTTATGCTAAAAATGTAACACAAAGTGAAGATGACAGCTAGTGGAAGGGAGCATTTGACTAGAAAGTAGTATGTAATTTTTTCATTGAAAACTGACATCAGGCATGTTAACCAAGACTGAAAACTAAGTAAAAGAACAGGTTATGCATTTGTTTTTGTCTGATAAAAAGCATTGCATTTAGGTGAGGAGATGAATTTAGTGAAGAGGCATGTCTTTTCTTGGCACTAAATAATTGGAGAACTGTATTTCCTAGAAAATGGTGCTCGTGTCATCCTGACCGTTAAAGGAGTTGAATTTATAATGTACTTCTATCAAGGGCAGTGCCCGTCACGTCATGAGTATTTAGCTATTGTTTTGCAGACACGTGCTTCAGGTGGCTTAGAATCTTACCAGGTGCCTGGACACAGATTCTTACTTGAGATTCCTGAGTGTGCATTCTCGCGGTGTGTAAACTTGCTGCTAATGATGTTGCTGGCAGTTTGGGTTTCCAGCTCAGGACTCTCACTGGACTGGGTGGTTCATTCTCTTAGGATCTTACAGCCATGATCAGGCTTCTGAGCCAGTACATTCCTGTCGTGGCCCCTCTGGCCCGCAGCTTCTGGCTTATGCTGCTGCAGCCTCTGCATCTTGCTGCTGTGTGAGCTATGTCTTGACTGTGACAAACTTGATTTCCACTTAGGTGCTGGTGTTTGTCCACTCCCGGAAGGAGACTGGGAAGACGGCCAGGGCCATTCGGGACATGTGCCTGGAGAAGGACACCCTGGGTCTGTTTCTGAGAGAGGGCTCCGCCTCCACAGAAGTCCTTCGGACGGAGGCAGAGCAGTGCAAGGTGAGGAGAGACAAGCTGGTTCCTCCCTGGAACTGGCTCAGCTGAGGTGTCCAGACAGTCCCTCAGGGCTGCACGGGGGCTGCTGTGTCACGCAGTTAGGTGGATTCTCAGCATGTGTCTGTGTGGTGTAGGTTGAGGGGGGAGGACTCGAGGGAGGAGACTTAGTCCTCCTTGGGAGAGCCGCCTGTGAGGCTCCTCTCACCGCCTGTCCTCTGTTCCTCAGAACCTGGAGCTGAAGGATCTGCTGCCCTACGGCTTTGCTATTCACCATGCGGGCATGACCAGAGTGGACAGGACACTTGTAGAGGACCTTTTTGCTGATAAACACATTCAGGTGAGGGCCGAAGCACAGACTTCAGAGACCCGAAATGTCAGTCTGTGCCTTACACTTGCACCTGTTTTTCGTTGTTTGTGGCAGGGCCTGCCTTGTCTGCTCCCTCTCGTGGAGCCTGAGCATGTGATTGTCTAGTAACCGCAAGTTGATTACTGTAGGTCTGTACTTCTGCCTCTTAGGCATTTCTAGGAACTTGTTAGGTTGGTTATTGACTAGATGAGGTGCCCAAGGAGCCCTTCCTCTTTATTCTGGCCTCACGCTGACAAGGATGGGCACCTCAGCCCTGCTAGAAGCTCTGGGGCTGGTTACCTAAAGAAGTTGGCGATATTGACCTCTGTTTTCCTTATTACCTTGCTTTATCTTTGTAGGTTTTAGTTTCCACAGCAACTCTGGCTTGGGGTGTGAATCTCCCCGCACATACAGTCATCATCAAAGGCACCCAGGTGTATAGTCCAGAGAAGGGGCGCTGGACAGAGCTGGGAGCACTGGACATTCTGCAGGTACGGATCCTTTGTGTCTGTTCCGGGTTGGAAAGAGTACCCTGAATGCAAGGATCCTGGAAATATGGCAGATGGCAGCTGAGGAGAAGCTTGGAATCCCTTCCAGCATCCCTGTGGCCTCAGCCCTCTTGGTTTGCTGTGTCTGCCCTAGATGCTGGGACGAGCCGGAAGACCCCAGTATGACACCAAGGGCGAAGGCATCCTCATCACATCTCATGGGGAGCTTCAGTACTACCTGTCCCTCCTCAACCAGCAGCTTCCTATTGAGAGCCAGATGGTGTCAAAGCTGCCTGACATGCTCAATGCGGAAATCGTGCTGGGAAATGTCCAGAATGCAAAGGTAGGGAGGCACTGCTCTTGGCACCGCTTGCCTTTCCCAGAGAGGCCAAGGTGTCAGAGTGGATGGTCTCTGGTGCTTCGGGCTGACATTTTCACTTGTTATAAAATACTAGTAGCTTGCTGCTGCTCTCCAGTAGCTCTCCGCTTGCTGCCCCACCCTTCTGTAGCTCCCCTGCCCCTCCTATCTCCCCCTCATAGTTTGCTGCCGCCCTCCTGTAGCTCCCTCCCCCTCTTTACCCCCCATAGCTTGCTGCTCTGCCCCCTCCTGTAGCTCTCCACTGTCTGCTTATAGCTCACTGCCCCACCCTCCTGCTGATCTGTGGTCTGGTCGATACACCATGAAGCATATTACATCTTTATTATTATATTACATCTTTATTATATAGGATTAGAGAGAGAAAAGATATTAGGACCCTCTTTTTTCATGACGAAATATTATAAATATTGCAATAAGATAAACATTGTTGTAGTTGGGAGGTAAATTCTAATAATTTCATTTGGACACCAGTTCTCCATGCTAAGATGCACGAGCTTTCTCTCATAGGATGCAGTGAACTGGCTGGGCTATGCCTACCTGTATATCCGAATGCTCCGATCCCCAACCCTCTATGGCATCTCCCATGACGACCTCAAGGGAGACCCCCTGCTGGACCAGCGCCGGCTGGATCTGGTTCATACTGCTGCCTTGATGCTGGATAAGAACAACCTGGCCAAGTATGATAAGAAGACGGGCAACTTCCAGGTGAGGGGGCTGAGGGATGGAAGGAGGGGCTCGGCAGAAGCCATCATCCCAGGAGACATGTTCAGACCGCTCTTAATCTGAGCACTGTCTCATGCCATTACTTGGAGCAGTAGAAAACAGGTGGGGCTGCACTGTGCACTGTGCTGACTGAGCCCAGGAACTCCTGAAATGGTGCAGTCAAGTCTGTCAGCGCCTCCTTTCTGTAACGTGAGTGGAGGTGGCTAATTTGCCTGTCTTTTCTGTGTGGGCATCAGCTCACTATAGGGCAGATTATTGTGCCATCTTTCTTCATGTGCTTGGGCCAGGCTCTTGTATTGTGATGTGTTCACCCAGTGGGCACCTGTTTGCAATGAGAGGTCGCAGCTCAGCATTGGATTGCGTCTTCCTTCTTCATAGGTGACAGAACTGGGCCGTATAGCCAGCCACTACTACATCACCAACGACACGGTGCAGACCTACAACCAGCTGCTGAAGCCCACTCTGAGCGAGATTGAGCTCTTCAGAGTCTTCTCGTTGTCTTCAGAGTTCAAGAACATCACTGTGAGAGAGGTGCGGCCACAGCACGTTGGGACGGGTACCTCTCCTCACCGCTGTCACTGTGGGTTCTCTCCTCTGCCACCTGGCTTTCCCCTGACCTCTTTCCTTCCATGGCAGGAGGAGAAGCTGGAACTGCAGAAGCTGCTGGAGAGGGTGCCCATTCCTGTAAAGGAGAGCATTGAGGAGCCCAGTGCGAAGGTAAGCCCGCACTTCTGCTTGGGGTAAGGCTTTTAGGTGGTTTTTAGGATCGTCTGAAAGACGGGGGTTTGTGCTTGGCTAACCTGCTTGGTTCTCCCAGCATACTTCTCATCAGCTACTTAATGTCTAACTCAAGAGCTGTAGAAGATCTTACCTGGCATGGATGCCCGGAGCAGACTGTGATCTATTTCCTTGGACCATCCAATAATTGGCTGCCTTCTGGCTGACCTTGCTTTTTCAGATCAATGTGCTGCTCCAAGCCTTCATCTCACAGCTGAAGTTGGAGGGCTTTGCACTGATGGCTGACATGGTGTATGTCACACAGGTGAGGGCAGGGTTTTACCGCCGGGAGAGGGCCTGAACAGTTCCTCCCGTGTGCTGTGTGCGTTTTGGAGAATGTGGGTCAAACACATAAGGGAGGGAGTGCTGGGGTTGCCCTAGTTGGCTCATTGGTTCACGTGTGAAAAAGCTGCTCTGTCTCTCTGCTCTTGGGTGAGCAGGAAGGTAAGGCCTCGAGAGAGTACTGAGGCCCCAGAGAGAGGCCGCACACAGCGGCTTCCCAGAGAGGACTTCCCTCTGCGGCCACTGTCCAGAATTGGTGAAAGGCTTTGTTATCTACTCTTTGTTAAACTTTACTTCTTCTTCTTCTTTTTTTAAAATTTCTTTATTGATTAAGTTATCACATATTTGTCCTCACCCCCCTCATTCCAATCCCCCATCCCTCCTCATTCATGCCCCCACCCTCCTATTGTCCTTGACCACTGGTTAGGCTCATATGTGTGCACACAAGTCCTTTGGTTGATCTCTCCCTTTGATCCCCACCCTCCCTCTGAGGTCCAACAGTCTGTCCATGGCTCCTTATCTCTGGGTCTGTTCTTGTTCATCAGTCTATGTTGTTCACCATTTCCCCCAGATGAATGTAAACTTTACTACTGAAAGCAAGTCACTAGCATCTTACTCTTGCTAGAGCCCTAAATGCTAAATGGGCCAAAAACTTTAAAATCACAGTGAGCTTTAGGTTAAAATGTATGGTGAGCTCAAGCTGCCTTTTCTAGTTAGTCTGTGTTTAGCAAGCACCTACTGTATAGAGGGGGAAAGAGTAATTACAGAGGGACTTTGTTGTTTTTGGATTTTTAAATTGATTTTTAGAAAGGGAAGAGAAAAAATGTAGAATGAAACATCAATAGGCTGCCTCTTGCAATATCCCTACTGGGGACAGAGCCATGTGCCCCCAAACGGGATTTGAACCTTTCAGTACACTGGACGACACCCAACCAACGGGCCACACCAGTCAGGGTGAGGGACTTTGTTTTTGAGTTCAGAGGCTGATTGCATCTGAGTGAGGCGGTTTAACTGCAGAGGGAGGGACACAGGGAATGAAATGCTTCATCTTTATCCAGTCGGCAGGCCGGTTGATGCGGGCCATCTTTGAAATTGTCCTGAACCGAGGTTGGGCACAGCTTACAGACAAGACCCTGAATCTCTGCAAGATGATCGATAAACGCATGTAAGGACTTGGGGTGCTGACAGCTGGTCACCATGTTGGGGTCCCAGGTTGAGAGTGTTGGGCGTTCACATGACCTCTGGCCCTGAAATGGGACATGGCCCTGGGGAAGCTGAGAAGAGAGAAGGCCCTGAGGGGTGGAGCCGGGGAGTGGGCACAGGGTGGTGGTGAGGGTTGGCTCTCAGGTCCCACAACTGGCACGGTTTCCAGTGTCTGTTTGACAGCTGTGTCTTGTGTGGTCACAGCTGATCTATCAGGAGCCATGATGAGGGCAGCTTGTCACAGGCCCTGCACAAGGGGTTGAACAGTTGGTTTTCTTTCTGGGTAGGTGGCAGTCCATGTGTCCGCTGCGTCAGTTCCGGAAACTCCCTGAGGAAGTCGTGAAGAAGATTGAGAAGAAAAACTTCCCCTTTGAGCGTCTGTATGACCTGAACCATAATGAGATAGGTGTGTGGGAAGCTGTCACCCACCCGGTTTACAGCCCAGATGTCTTTCTAAGCCTTCATACTTTCCAGGTCCTAGGCCTTGTGCCTAATATCCCGGTCACCTCTCGTGGCCCATTCAAACACTGGGCCCGTCCCTGGTCTTGGCCTTTGACTCATTTGGGCTCCACGGAGAGCGAAGGGAACAGCCTGCCACACTGGAATAGAATCTGCTCCTTCCTGGAGGCTCGAGTGTGCGGACAGGATTGGTGGGCTGGGCTGCAGCCCCTGTGCCCTCTGTGTCTTCACAGGGGAGCTCATCCGCATGCCGAAGATGGGCAAGACCATCCACAAATACGTCCACCTGTTCCCCAAGTTGGAGCTGTCGGTGCACCTGCAACCCATCACGCGCTCCACCCTGAAGGTGGAGCTGACCATCACTCCAGACTTCCAGTGGGACGAAAAGGTAAGCTCTCGCTTCAGCGTGATTTGAGCGAGAGCTGGCTTGGAGGTGCTGCTCACATCCCTTCTGCTTGTGCATGCTTTCAGGTCCATGGTTCGTCCGAGGCATTCTGGATTCTGGTGGAGGATGTGGACAGTGAGGTGATACTGCACCATGAGTATTTTCTACTCAAGGCCAAGTATGCCCAGGATGAGCACCTCATTACGTTCTTTGTGCCCGTCTTTGAACCACTGCCCCCTCAGTACTTCATCCGCGTGGTGTCTGACCGCTGGCTCTGTGAGTGTCCCTCTGCACGGCCTCCTGGGACAGGCCCTCCCAGGGCGGTTGTAGGAATAAGCTGGCTGGGGGAGAGCACATGCTGCCTGGGGTTCCAGGGTGCCCGGAGGGGATCTGGAGCTGTCAGGTAAGAGGACTGCCTGCCTTTTCTCCTGGCAGCTTGTGAGACCCAGCTTCCTGTCTCCTTCCGACACCTGATCCTGCCAGAGAAGTACCCACCTCCCACGGAACTTCTGGACCTGCAGCCCTTGCCCGTGTCTGCCTTGAGAAACAGCGCCTTCGAGAGCCTTTACCAAGATAAATTTCCTTTCTTCAACCCCATCCAGACCCAAGGTGGGTGTGTTGGTTTCCCTGCAGGCCTGGCAAGGCCACCGAGAGACGTCATCTGGGCCAGAAGGGAAGTGTGCTCAGGTCTTGGCTGGCATGGCAGCCCATCAGCGCCGGCTGACGGAGCAAACCCGCTGCCCTCGCTCCTCACCTCGCTCTCCTAGCTCCTCTAAGTCCTTGATGGGTAGATTTGCTTCGCTTCTTTGCGTGTCTCACCGAGGAGGGTGGTGGGAAGGAGTCTCATCAGTCATGGTGCGTTGTCGTTTCTCAAGCTCGGGAGGCTGCCTGCCCCTGCTGCTCAGGTATTGGCTTTGTCCAGTGTTGACTGAGACCCCCCCCATCACTTTGGGTACCAGGCGTCCACAGAACACGCTTGTGCTCTGTGGGCATCACGGACATTTCTGTTTCTCCCACTAACACTATAAGGGGTTTACTATGTGAGATATTGCTGTCAGTGTCCTATTGGACAGACGGGTAAACTGAGGCAGAGAGCTACCTAGTTGAATGAGCAAATAAACAGGACTTGAATGTTCACCCAGTATCGATTCCAGGGTTTGGCTCTTTTCTTCTTTCCACATTGGACTGTTTCTAGGAAGCGTGAGCATCGGAGGTAGAGAAAGGCAGCCAGGGCTCTTTTGCTCTGTGTCTGGGCTCTGAGAAGACCAGCTATGAGGCAGAGAAGGAGACTTGGTCTGCTTTGCTTCTGCTTTTGTCCTACAGATCTACCTGGGACAAGAACTCTTTTTACTTTTTAAAAGTTTTTACTGACGTCAGAGGAAGGGAGAGGGGGAGAAAGATAGAAACGTCAGTGATGAGAGGGAATCATTGATCAGCTGCCTTCTGCACGCACCACACATGGATAGAGCCTGCTACCTGGGCATTTGTCCTGCCGGGAATGGAATGGAGACTTCCTGGTTCATAGGTTGATGCTCAGCTGCTGAGCCACGCTGGCTAGGCATGGGACTGAAACTCTTGATCTTGACACCCCCCCTGCCTTCTGTGTGGGAAGGGGACCTTTGAGGGGACTGACAGGCAGCCTGACTGTGGGAGGGGCTGCATCCCGTCGCCCCTCAGTGCTCCTGCTGACTCTGTATGATGAGTACTTCACGGTGCTGCCCTGTCGGTTTGCAGTGTTTAACACCGTGTACAACAGTGATGACAACGTGTTTGTGGGAGCACCCACTGGCAGCGGGAAGACCATCTGTGCGGAGTTCGCCATCCTGCGTATGCTGCTGCAGAGCTCGGAGGGGCGCTGTGTCTACATCACCCCCATGGAGGCGCTGGCAGAGCAGGTGAGCAATGGGCCGCCACCTCTGTGCCTTCCCAGCAACTGTCTCCGTCTGTGAGTCCAATCAAGCTTCTTTAAGGCCCGAGATCTGGAGGGCTATTGGGGCCAGAACCACTTACTACTTTTTCTCGTCATTCTTTCAGTCTGTGAACTGAAGAGCAGCGTCCCATTGCTTAAAAGTTGGTGTGGGTTATAAAGTAGCTCAAGGAGCTACAGAGCAACGCGTCCCTCCCTTTGGCTCCTCAGTTTTTTCTCACACTTCCTGTCCCCTCTTCCTGCCTGCCTGCCTGCCAGGTGTACATGGACTGGTACGAGAAGTTCCAGGACCGGCTCAACAAGAAGGTGGTGCTCCTGACGGGCGAGACCAGCACAGACCTCAAGCTTCTGGGCAAAGGCAACATCATTATCAGCACCCCCGAGAAGTGGGACATCCTCTCTCGGCGCTGGAAGCAGCGCAAGAACGTCCAGAACATCAACCTCTTCGTGGTGGACGAGGTCCACCTCATCGGGGGCGAGAATGGGGTATGGCCTCACCTTGTAGCACACTGGGGGCTGCCGCTGGCCAGATGACCTTGGCATTGGGCCTCATGTTTGACTCTGAGGCCAGGGACTAGGACATTTTCCCAGGAGGACTCTTGCCACCTTATTTCAAAGAAATGGTGTGAGACTTTTTGTGGGAATCTTAGTGGAGATTAGCTGCTGTGGAAGAGCCCTAGTCAGAGGAGGAACTAGGACACCATTTTGAGGGCATTGGGCTGTGCACGAAGGGTAACTCAGGGCCGGGGATGGCACCTGGGCCTGTGGTGACCGCTCCTCCCTCTGTCCTCCCTCCCAGCCCGTCTTGGAAGTGATCTGCTCCCGGATGCGCTATATCTCCTCCCAGATTGAGCGGCCCATTCGCATTGTGGCTCTTAGCTCCTCGCTCTCAAATGCTAAGGATGTGGCCCACTGGCTGGGCTGCAGCGCCACGTCCACTTTCAACTTCCACCCGAACGTGCGCCCTGTGCCCTTGGAGCTGCACATCCAGGTAGGACCCCTCCTCCCGTTCCTCGTGGCCTCCGTGCAGGGTGCCGGGTCTTGTAACCTCTGTCTCTCTTTCCTTGGTTCCCAGGGCTTTAACATCAGCCACACACAGACTCGCCTGCTGTCCATGGCCAAGCCCGTGTACCATGCAATCACCAAGCACTCGCCCAAGAAGCCTGTCATCGTTTTTGTGCCGTCCCGCAAGCAGACCCGCCTCACTGCAATCGACATCCTCAGCACGTGTGCGGCCGACATCCAGCGGCAGAGGTGGGCAGGCTGGGCTCTGTCCACTTCTTGTCTGCCTGGCTTCTGGGTGGGGCCACGGGAAGTTGGGTCATGGGAGGTTGGCGCACCCTAAAGGGTGGTCTGTTTATGAGGCTGGTGCTGGCCTCCCTCCGGCTAGGGGCTGGGTGACTGCACAGTGGAGGGTGTTTGTGGGGCCAGAACCTCTCGCATTGAGCCAGTGTTGATGCCGCCCAGGTTCTTGCACTGCACTGAGAAGGACCTGATCCCGTACCTGGAGAAGCTGAGCAACTCCACGCTCAGGGAGACGCTGTTGAACGGGGTGGGCTACCTGCACGAGGGGCTCAGTCCCATGGAGCGGCGCCTGGTGGAGCAGCTCTTCAGCTCAGGTGAGAAGCCTGGTGGCTCAGAGTGAGAGGATAATCGCCAGAACGTGCAGGTGGTCTGCTTTTTAAAAATTTTTATTTCAGGGAGAAGTGGGGAGGGGAGAGAGAAGCATTAGTGAGGAGAGAGAATCATTAATCGGCTGCCTCCTGCAAGCCTTCCTCCAACCCCCGCTGGGGATCAAGCCGATAGCCTGGGCATGTGCCGTGACCAGGAATGGACCGTGGCCTCCTGTTTCATAGGCCGATGGTCACCCACTGAGCCAATCCGGCCAGGCTGGTCTGCTTTCAACTCCAGGTGTGGATGCTAGTTCCCTGCAGCACACTAGTCATTTTCAGACACTGTTTATTGAATCTGATATCGCATTCAGTTCCCCAAATAACCTTGTCATGTCGGTGGGACAGATGCTGTCCCTACTTGCTAGAGTGACAACAAGGAGACACACAAGGCTATATCATTTCAGAACCTGGTTAGGTGGCCCTTTAGCCTCTCACCTGTTTCTCGTGGACATCAGACTTACCAAGGCCGTCGGACCTCAGAGATGTGTAAATGGTATTAGCGTTTTGGCAGTGTGGAGCTGCAGGGGAGATGGTCCTGCCAGAATCGCCTCTTTCCAGATTGAAGCCCTTGAGTCTGTCTGGTTTGGGGCACACTCAGCTCAGTTTTGCTGCCATCGACTGAGCCAGCCCCATGGTTGAGTTGGCATTTTCCAGTGAGCAGGGCCAGTCAGACAGGCGTCTAAGCCTAGCTTTCCCTGGGCTGGGAATCTTGTTCCAGGATTACGTCCTTGCCTCTAGGATAGTCCCCCAAGTAGGTGATGCTGTCATGGAGCTGCCTCCTGTAGTACTGCATCTGCCTTCTTAATCACATCAGCTCTGTTCCCAGCAAGCTTTGCTCTCGTTTCTGAAACAAGGGAAACCCCTGCCTCAGCCAGGGAGCCCAGCACTCAGTCTTCTCCTCCCTCTGCTCAGGGGCCATCCAGGTGGTGGTAGCCTCTCGGAGTCTCTGCTGGGGCCTGAGCGTGGCCGCCCACCTGGTGATCATCATGGACACCCAGTACTACAATGGCAAGATTCACGCGTGAGTCCCGCTGCGCTCCGCGCCAAGGGGAGCCTTTGTAAAATGGGCATAACACCTGCAGATCCAGAAACTAATTGTCACGGAGGAAAAGTGTTTGGGCAGTCAGCAGCCGGCTGAGTTCCAGCTCAGCCTGGTTTTGGGGAGAGTTTTCAGCCTCAGAACAGAGGCTCACGTTGGCTCTTACAGCCATCCTCCCATGTTGCAGTAAGAGGAGAACCAGGGATCATGGTACAACACCGTTTTATAACATCTATTTGAAATTTATTATTGTAGTCATTAGTGTATTACTATATCTTCCTTGGAAAAAAAAAAAAAAAAGGAGAACCAGAGAGTCTGAGCCAGAAGAAACCTTAGGAATTATGCAGTTAGACCTGCTCGGTAGATTGGGAAAGTGACTTGGTCCAGGTCACATGCTCTTGGGGTGACATAAAGTAGAAGATTGGATTTTTCGCAGAAAAAGCTCAAATAATTTAACTCAATAATAGTATTTCCTGAAATGTAGATTATTTTTGAAATTAGTTTTACTTTTAATGTCTGAACCTACTTGTAGGTTTGGACTTAAGTCAGGTGACTTGATAACTTATGATTACACAGCTGTTAACTTTGGGCAGCTTGACTTACATATGTGCTCTTTTGTTAGCAAGTTACTTTGCTTTTGCCATGAGATGATTTGTAGCTTTGAACCAAGGACCCTGAGCAACAAAGTCACAACTCTTAACTTGAAAACTGCAAGTGAAACTGGTGCCTCAGAACAGAAAGTCATAAACCCCGAGTTTGCTGTGACACGCCCATGTCTCTCCATGTTTGCATTTTATTCTGAGGTTGGGAGGCATGGCCTCCTGGGCGGTCCCTGTGTTGATGCACTGTGCCTCTGTCCCCTCCCACCAGGTACGTGGACTACCCCATCTATGACGTGCTCCAGATGGTGGGGCATGCCAACCGACCTCTGCAGGATGACGAGGGGCGCTGTGTCATCATGTGCCAGGGCTCCAAAAAGGTTAGCTCGGGGCCTCAGAATACAGGCTTTCTTTCCTCTCCTCATGGAGGTTTTAGTTTCTCCATTCTTTCTGTCAGATGCTTCTGTTGTCCACATTGCTTTGTAATAAGCCTTTCAGCCCCAAGGAATTTTGTAGCCTTTTGTTTTTGGTTCTCTTGTTGTGTCCATGGTCTTCGTCTGGCTGGTTCCATCTTTCTCCTGTGCTGCTCAACCTGCACTACTCCGTGTATCCTGTCCTGTTGTGAAAATAACCACTGATGCTAGTGGGAACAGGCAAACATTCCTGGTGCAGACTTAGCTCACTTGTTGCAGCTGCTTTCCTCCATTTTGGTGTTGGCTGTGTCTGTCACACAGATCCATCTCTTCTTTGTGACCGGGTGTCATTTACTAGTATTATCTCCCTTCGCCAACCCACAGGACTTCTTCAAGAAGTTCTTATATGAGCCCTTGCCAGTGGAGTCTCACCTGGACCACTGCATGCATGACCACTTCAATGCTGAGATTGTCACCAAGACCATTGAGAACAAGCAGGATGCCGTGGACTACCTCACCTGGACCTTTCTGTACCGCCGCATGACACAGAACCCCAACTATTACAACCTGCAGGGTCAGCCACCTTGGAGTGCACTGTTCTTTTGTGGTTTCCTCAGCCCTCGCTGGCCGTCTCCCTGCAACTGCTCACCAACCACTCTCCTTCACAGGCATCTCCCATCGCCACCTGTCTGACCACTTGTCAGAGCTGGTGGAGCAGACCCTGAGTGACCTGGAGCAGTCCAAGTGCATCAGCATAGAGGACGAGATGGACGTGGCACCTCTGAACCTGGGCATGATCGCTGCTTACTATTACATCAACTACACAACCATTGGTGAGGGCCGGCAAAGGCTGCTGTGTCTGTGGGGAGCCCCGCTCCGAAGTGGGCAGCTACCCGGGAGGAGATGACAGGCTTCTAGTGACAGAGACTCTTAGAGGGTTGTACTCCAGGCCATGAACTCATCTCCTTGTTCCTTTCTGCTGCTTTTGACTCCTCCCAAATCTTGTATCTGTCAGAGCTCTTCAGCATGTCCCTGAATGCCAAGACCAAGGTGCGGGGGCTCATTGAGATCATCTCCAATGCGGCCGAGTATGAGAACATTCCCATCCGGCACCATGAGGACAACCTCCTGCGGCAGGTGAGGACACCCAGGCTTCAGGAGAATGGCCCAGGTGCCCAGAGCACCCAGATCTGTCAACAGGAAAATCCCACCATGCTCCACTGTCACCCTCTGAGCTTTGAAGGATTATGAGCCTGAGATGGATGGTGCCTTGGGCCTGAGAGCTGGTCTCAGGCTGGGTCACTTGTTTCTCACTGGCTATTTTTCTTGTGCTTTCCAGTTGGCTCAGAAGGTCCCGCATAAGCTGAACAACCCTAAGTTTAATGACCCACATGTCAAGACCAACCTGCTCCTGCAGGCTCACCTGTCCCGTATGCAGCTGAGTGCAGAGCTGCAGTCAGATACCGAGGAGATCCTTAGCAAGGTAGAGTCGGTGTCATTGAGGGCGTGGATGGGAGGGCCCGCAAGGGCCTGTGAGGAAGCAGTTTCAACCCTACCTGCTCTCGTGCTTCTACCCCGTGCAGGCGATCCGGCTCATTCAGGCCTGTGTAGATGTCCTGTCCAGCAATGGGTGGCTCAGTCCTGCTCTGGCAGCCATGGAACTGGCCCAGATGGTCACCCAAGCCATGTGGTCCAAGGATTCATACCTGAAGCAGCTGCCACACTTCACCTCAGAGCACATCAAACGCTGCACAGACAAGGTGAGCTGGGTCCAGACCTGGCTGAGCCCGAGAGCTGAGTGTCCTGGACCTGGGGTGGGGGCTGAGTCACAGGAGGGAAGGCTTCTGGTTCTGTCCGGTTTCTCTGAAGGTGCAATACACTGAGATGCTAGAGAGCCTGACGCATGTGGCTGTGCTCTGTCTGAAGCCGTGTCTGTCGGTGTCTGACAGGGTAGGATGGGAATTAGCAGCCACTAGGAGCCGTTTCATTTATTGTTAGCAAGTGTTCTCTCTTCCCGATCTCTGAATGCCCACTGCAGGGAGTGGAAAGTGTTTTTGACATCATGGAGATGGAGGATGAAGAGCGAAATGCGCTGCTTCAGCTGTCTGACGGCCAGATGGCGGACGTGGCCCGCTTCTGCAACCGCTACCCTAATATCGAGCTCTCTTATGAGGTGGTGGATAAGGACGGCATCCGCAGGTGAGTCAGAGGGCCAGGTGCCCTGCCCTGGGGTTCCTGCGACGAGCTGTGGTTCCACTGCCCCGGTGCTGATGTGCTCCCTGCTTTGTCCCACCAGTGGCGGGCCCGTCGTTGTGCTGGTACAGCTGGAGCGAGAGGAGGAAGTCACAGGCCCCGTGATTGCGCCTCTCTTCCCACAGGTATGTCCTGGTAGCTGGCTTTTCCAGACATCTACTGGAGGCGGTTTGTCCACTGGTAGAATCAGAGTACAAGGGGCACTGTCACTGGGAGAGACGTTTAGAGTAATAATGAAACATGAATCATAGACTGAGAATTAATCTTGGGGACATTGCTTTTATCTTTAAAGGGATGGGGAGAGAAAGCGAGAAACATCGATGTGAGAGGGACATATTGATTGGTTGCCTTCTGCACATGCCCTTGACTGGAATGGAACCTGGGACGCTTTAGTCCGTAGGTTGATGCTATATCCACTAAGCCAAATCTCTAAGGCCATTGATATTTTTTTTGTCTTAAGACAGCTTAGATGGCTGGTCATTGTTAAAAATAGCAGTTGAATAGTCTTGCCAATCTGTAATTGTTAAAACACATTTGTCTTTAACATTAAATTAAATGGTCCCAGGGTGTGCTTTTTAAAAAATGTATTATTGATTTTAGAGAGGAAGGGAGAGGGAGAGATAGAAACATCAATAATGATAAAGAAGCATTGATTGGCTGCTTCCCGCATGCCCCGTATTGGGGATTGAGCCCACAACCCAGGCATGTGCCCTTGACCGAACTTGAACCCAGAACCCTACAGTCTGCAGGCTCATGCCACCGAACCAAACCAGCTAGGGCTAGGGCATGCTTTTAAAGATTAAAAGCAGCAACCAGATATACTAAGTTTATTTCTACAAGCTGATTTAATACGCTCTGAGGAATGATGCTGGGATCTAGAATTCTTGCGCTTCCTCAGTGGAGTGGCAGCAGGTGCCTTGGTGGATGCTCTCTATGGCAGACTCCTCTCCCTGTTTACGTGTCAGCCTGGCACATGTGCCTTAAAGGGTGTCTGAAGAGCTCAGAGCTGCCAGGCCAGAGGGTCTCGATCTCTGACAGAGGAATCTTGTAGGAGAAGAGCCAGAACAAAAAAAAAATGAGTCTATTTGCTACTTAGAATTTGAAACTATTACAAGGTATCTCAAATGAACTTAATTTTAGTTTTGTCAAATTGTATTTCAGGAGGAAATTTTAAAAAGCTTTATCTGGCTTTTGTTTTCCTACTTTTGTGACCATTCTCATGGTCTCATATGGCTGTCACACTTAATTTTATTTTTTAAAGTCTTTATTGTTGGAAGTATTGCATAGCTGTCAAGTTTTGTGCTGAAATCCTTGGCTTTTGGTCACTGCAGAAACGTGAAGAAGGCTGGTGGGTGGTGATCGGAGATGCCAAGTCCAATAGCCTCATCTCCATCAAGAGGCTGACCCTGCAGCAGAAGGCCAAGGTGAGTGTCCAGTGGCCCAGCATTCGTTCTGAGACGGGCGGGCGGGCGGGCGGGAGCTCTCTCCCTGTGTCCCGCTCACCCTGATTCCTGCCTGCTCTCTCTAGGTGAAGCTTGACTTCGTGGCCCCAGCCACTGGAGCCCACAACTACACTCTGTACTTCATGAGTGACGCTTACATGGGATGTGACCAGGAATACAAATTCAGTGTGGACGTGAAAGAAGCCGAGACAGACAGCGACTCGGACTGAGTGCAGAGGCCTTTGCAGTGTGAAACCTGCACAGTTGAAGGGGATTGCCGCTGTGGAGACCAGGTCTGTTGGCTGGGAGAACTGGCAGTCGACACAGGTGCCGTCCCAGCCCACCTCATTTTCCTCTTGCTACCTGCCATCCAAACTGGATCCAGTGTCTGCAGGTGGCGTGTAGCTGTCAAGCATAAACTGTACAGCGTTTTTATGCTTGTTCTTGGTATTCTTTGGTTACAGAATCAAACATTCTAATAAAATAAGTTGAGAAACCATTTGTTGTATCAGTGATTTCAAATTAAATTTCCTTTTGCTAACCTAAGGCCTATGGCCAAAAACATTTTTTTAACCACTGAACTTGCTTAGAAGGAATACTTCTGGAGGACAAGGCTATTTGTTGGGCAGCCATTTGAGCCAGTGTGGAGGAAGAGGGGTTAGGTAACTTCTCTTCAGTCAGTATTCCTGCCCCCATCTCGTAACCTGGATATCATCACCACTGCAGGAACTAACACAGCTGCAGGGACAGATCCTAGGCTAGAAATTTCTCAAGATCTGTATAAACACCCTTCCTCACTCCAGGTACATTGAAATGTACCTACTGGGTACACTGATACTGTGATCCAGATCTGCAAGCTTTTTAAAAAATATATATTTTATTGATTTTTTACGGAGAGGGAGAGAGATAGAGAGCTAGAAACATCAATGAAAAAGAAACATCCACCAGCTGCCTCCTGCACACCCCCCACCAGGGATGTGCCCGCAACCAACGTACATGCCCTTGACCGGAATTGAACCCGGGACCTTTCAGTCCGCAGATGGATGCTCTACCGCTGAGCCAAACCGGTTTCAGCAGCTTTCTACCAGGTTTCCCCGAAAATAAGACCTACTTACAGGTTTCCTTCTGAGTGAAATATAAGGCATCCTCCCCGAAAATAAGGCCCCCCCTAGGCTAAACATGAGAGGTTTGGTCCACTGATTCTGAAAGAAATTGAGTCACAATTCACCAGGAAATTCAGGTATTGGATTGTTATGATGATGTTCCAGAAGACGATGACATGATTGTCATTGAATAAATAAATTCTTGATGCTGTAGGATTCAGTTTGTCTGGTTTGTGTTGACAACTACTGTACCGTATACAGGTAATAAATTTCCTTTATTTTCATTTAACAATAAATGTGTACCATATTCTTCTTCATGAAAAAATAAGACATCCCCTGAAAATAAGACCTAGCGCAGCTTTGGGAACAAAAATTAATATAAGACATAAGACACTCTTATTTTTGGGGAAACAAGGTACTTCAAATTCTTGCCTTCTGCTCTTGAGGAATAACTGCGTAAAATTAGATGATTCTCAAGGGTAATTTCCTTAGGTCTTAGGAATCCTTTACAGTATAAAATTTAAGAACCCCAAAGAGGTTATGATCCATTGATAATTTACTATATTAAAAATAAAAACAGCCCTGGTCGGAGTGGCTGTTTATCGTTCTGTGCACGTAAGTGTTGCTGGTTTGATTCCTGGTCAGGGCACATACCTAGCTTGTGGGTCAGTCCCTGGTGAGGGTGCGGGAAGTAACCGATTAATGTTTTTCTCTCTCTTCCTCTCGAAAATCAATAAAAACATTACTTCCAAAGCAAATCCAGGGAAAAGAGCAGCCTGCAATGTTTTTAAAGATCTCATTCCTGTCTGATTTAATAAAAGACAGGGATTCTTGTAGTTGCTTTAATTGTTATTTAAGTTGAAGTAAAGTTGACTTTATCCACATGAGCAGTAGGAAAGGAAGTTTTTATAGCCAGTTCAGGAAATTGTGGCTATTCGATGCTGTAGTGAGACTCCATAAATAGTAGTTTCTTAGGTGGAATGTGGAATCTGAAACCTTATCAATGAGCTTCTTGTACTGTTAAGACCCACGGTCTCTCTTACCTGTTACCCATGAGTGATTCTGTAACATCATGCATTAATCGTTTGGAAAATGCTGATTCACTCAATCAGGCAGATCTTCCAAACGTTGACATTTCATCATATAAATCACATTTGTTGGTAACCACCAAAGTCTAAGAATTGGGAAGATGGCAAGCTCATGGTGCAAGTTTTCCAAAATTCTAATTTTTACTTGAAAGCTTGATCACTGGCAATGCTATCAGTTGCCGTGAAAGGCTCATTCATTTCCTAGAAATCAATGGCCAAGTAGCCAAGCAAGTTGATATCACAATTTGCTACTTCTTTTAAGTAAAAATGGTAGATAGCTCACTCAGCTACACATCTGCTTTTCCTCCAGACAGACCTCTGCTTCTGCATGCTGCCATTGCCATCAACCTTCCCAAGGGTCAAGATCTTATAGCTTGTATGTGTTCTTGAAGGACATTTCTAAGTGAAGTTGACAATACTGCTGTGAGAGTGTCACAGCTAGTGGCTCAGACCTCCAGCCCACACACGAAAGGGTCAAAGGTTTGATTCTGGTCAAGGGCATGTACCTGGGTTGCAATTTTCATCCCTGGCCCCAGCTGGTCCGAACGCATGCAGGAGGCAACCAATGGGTGCCTCGTATTAATGTCCCCCCACCATCATCCCTTTCCATTCTTGCTAAAATAATGGAAAAAATATACTCGGATGATTTAAAAAATTTTTTTGAGAATAAGAAAACGCAAAACTATAACTACTAGTTGGTGCCACTACCATAGTTCCTGCCAACGTATCAACAACTGACCTCTCAGACCCAACCTCCAGGCGCTTGGGTTGGTACTGCTCCAGCTGCCACTTCAGGCTGTCATTACTTCTGTTGTATAAAAGATTAATGAAGGCCATAGCTTTGGGGAACTGTCCTCAAGTCAAAACCCATACGGAAGTGACAGAACTGATCGCCCATGGCCGTGATTCACTGCACTTTTTTCATTATCACTCTTAAAGAGCTGTATCAGACATTTTCTTTTAAAATCCTCACCCAAGGATATTTTTTCCATCGATTTCTAGAGTGTAGAGGAGGGAGAAGGGAGAGAAACATTGATGTGAGACATTGATTCGTCTCCCATATGTGCTCCTACCAAGGCTGGAGAACTTGTAACCAAAGTATGTGCCCTTGACTGGGAATAGAACCTGGGACTCCTTGGTCCAGCAGTCGCCAACCTTTCAGACTCCACGCACTACCAGTGTCTGCGGTCTACAGGTGGACACTCTAACCACTGAGCAACCGACCAGAGCTCTATCAGACATCTTTTTCCTACTTGCCCTCACCATGAAAATTGAATACCATACATTGTATATTGTGTACTAGTCCTTTAGAGGACCACAAATCATTGTCTCTATGATTTTTCTGTCCTTCACCAAAGAGCCAATTTACAGCCCCATTGAGAATGCATGGCCTATGGCCAATAATTCTCCCTTTTAGAGTTCACACCCTTCCCTTTTTGGCATTCCGCAAGCAATAGAAGATGCACAAAGGTTCCTAAGGGGAAGCAGAGGTGTCTTACTTTAGCCTACATTAGAAAATCTTCACTCCTGAGTGAATGTCTTAAATTCAAAGACTTCATGAGAAAGCAGGAAGGCAGGACCTATTTCAGAAGTAACTCATGTTTTACATTGTGAATGTTCTAATAATATAAATAAGACTTGGGACTCAGAAGGATTATTTCTGTAAGGCTTACAATTTCAGAAAGGTCTGAGGTGCATGCCTCCGATGTATCAACATGGTGATTATTAATAGTACATTCACTCCGCAAACTTTAGCACTGTGTCCTGACTAAAAGCAAAGCCCGTGGCATAACTACAAGTACTCTCCTTCTGCAGTTCTTCACCAGGGCCCACGCCAACATGGGAAGGAGTGGTCCTAAGGCTCCGCACGTCTACCCAGGTCTGCCCAAGAGGCAAGTTAAAGGCAGGCCAGGCTGCTCTTCCGGGTCTTCTAGGGCTAGAAAAGTCTTATGACCTTTTGGGGGGAACCATGATTCTGTCCAAAGTCAAGGTGGCTCAGAGGCCTTCAAGCCGCTGATACTTCCAGAAGGCCACCTCCCCATCATCGCTGCAGGAGGCCAGAAGCCCGGGCTCCTTGGGGTTCCAGGCCACACAGTTGACATCCTGGGAGTGGGCCTGGGGCAAGTGCGCTGTCAGGGAGAAGGTGGGCTGCTGTGGGTCTGAGCCAGGGTCCTCCTCAAACACGCGGATGGCATCGTCCCCACAAGCTGTAGCCAGGGCTCCTGACAGCGAACACCTGGGAAGAACGCGTGCATCAGTGATTATGCTGGTGACTCCTCCCTCCCAGCCCAGCAAGTTAGCGGAGGATGCTGATTTTATAGGCCCTGGCTGGCTGGCTGGCTTCCCAAACTTCTGGCTTCAGCTAGCATGTCTTACTGAAGAGTTCCCCTAATTAATATATAGCCACAGACATCACCCCCTCAGCATTCAAGTGCTGCCATCCAACTTTTCCCCAATACAATTAACCTAAAAAACTAAGTAAGATTCTGAATTACACTTTTGTCACTTAGCATAAGCAACTTCCCTTGTCATAAAGTTTGCTTAATCATTTTTTAAAAAGTGGTATAACAGGCCATTGAATTTTACCACACTTAAGCCTGTTTTGGTTAATTCCAAATGTTTGTCGATGTAAATAAAGCTGAGAGACACATCGACTTTTTTCATTATTTAGGATTATTTCCTAGGGATAGATTCTTAGGGCCAGAACTATCAAAGCACATGGTCTGACTTCTCTAAAATGTCTCCAAATTGGGGAGTGGAGTGGAGATGGGGAAAGGAGCTGGAGGAATTACCAAGCAATGTCGTAGATGGTCCTGGAGTGGAAGCCTGACAAGGTGCAGATACATTTCCAGCTGGGGTCAGAGCCGCTGCACGCCACACCTGTGCAACAGATTTCTCCTGAGTCCAAGGCACAGCTGTGTCCCAGGCACCTTAGGGGTCCAAACGCCTCACTGCAGAGATCCTAATTGGCCCTTGCTTACCCTCACCCTCAACCATGAGTCCTCGTCTTCATTTCTCTGTCCCCACTCTCACCAATCTGCCTTACATACTATGGCCAGGCTGGTATTTTTGCAGAATTCTGAGAAGGGAATGTCCTGTTCTTTAAAAAAAAACAAAAAACTTTGCTGCAGACTACTTGGCCTGCCTTAGAACGCCATCCACCAGCCAGCCCAACCCACCTTACTTCCCCCAAACCCTTTATATACCTCATGCTTCACCTAAGGAAGCACCGCTCCTGTGAGATCTAGGCTTTCCCATCTGTAATGCCTTTGCTCATGCTGTTCTGTTCTCACCCAGAGTTCTCTTCTTGTAAAATCCTACACATCCTTTCACGTTCCGAAGAAATAGCCCTTCTACGTCGCCTTCCCTGTTCCTTCATCTCTCCGGCGCTCTCCCTCCTACTCATTTGCTGTGCTTCATCTGTGTTTCACCAGATAAACTGTCAACCTCTTAGAGAGGACTCTTCTTAGCTCTGTGCCTGGCCCCTCACCTTGCTCATTGCCTGGCAGGTACTGGCGCCAGATGCGCACGGTACGGTCATCACTGCAAGACGCCAGACGCTGGCCACTGGGGTCAAAGGCCAAGCTCCACACTGTGGATTCATGACCCTCAAGGGTGGCACAGCATACCCAGTCATCCTCTTCCTCCCGGTATAGCTTCACCGTGTCATCATAGCTGGCAGAGGCTAACAGCTGGGGACAGGGGGAAAACACACCACTTACGGCCCAGGAAGTGCCTGTGGCTCCAATACCTCTCCCTGCTAGGGCAGGACAGTCCCAGGGAGCGTCTTTATAACGGGGACTAATGTCTTTTGGCCACAGGTAGTGATCTCTTTGAAAGCCAGTTGAGGCTGACAAGCCGAGGTGAGTTGGGCACAACCCCCACACCAGAATTCCTTCCCATTGAGATACTTTGCCAGACTCTTACCTCCTGGCTTGGGTGCCAGACCACATGCTTGACATCCTGCGTATGGGAATTGAGGACACTGACACATTCATACTCATCTTCTTCATCAACTGTGGGAAGAGAACAGAAAGGAGCCCACAAGCTGACCTTGTGAGGGTCATGTAGCAGATTCTCTGTCTGCTGGCTCCCAACTGCACCCAGAGGGACCTACACTCACCTTCCCAGACCCACACACTCTTATCTCGGCTGCAGGTAGCAAGGAGGTTGCCAGATGGGGCCCAGGCCACTGATTTGACCTCATTTTCATGGCCTTCCAGAGTGGTCACACACTGTGAGAAGGGAAGAGGGACAAGAATCAGTGGCATTTAAGACACCTGGATAGATGGTTTGCCCAGGTTGGTTCAAGTTCCTGAACCAGTTCTGGGGAGCAAACTGCAACAATCCTGGTCCAATCCAGTCTGGTTACCTCAAAGTCATCCTGATTCTTCTTCCAAATACAAGTGGTAGCATCAAAACTGGCAGAGGCCAGGTAATTGCCGCAGGGAGACCAGGCCACCTTCCGCACAGTGCGCTGGTGGCCTTCAGAAAGGACAGATTTGCAGATCCAGTTGCCACCTAAAAGTAGAGGCCAGGCCAGGCACTGGGGCTGAGTGCACAAGACACTGAAACACTATCACTGCCATCTGACACTGGAGCCGAGCTCAACGGGCACATTTGAAAACATGCTTTTAGGAAGAAGTAACTGACTTACTTCCTCTGGAGGCATCACCTCCTAATTTAAAATGGTCAAAGGCTGCCCAGTGATGGGCTCAGAGGCTCAGTGTTTGAGAGTCCACCTATGAACCAGGAGGTCACGGATCAATTCTATGGCCGGGGCACATGCCTGGATTGCAGGCTCGATCCCTAGTTTGGGGCGTGCAGAAAGCAGCTGATCAATAGTTCTCATCATTGGTGGTTCTATTTCTCTCTCCCATTCCCTTCTTCTCTGAAACCAATAAAACACACACACACACACACAACCCCCCACACACAAATAATCAAAGGCTGTCCTCTCGCAAATTACCCTGCAGGCTACTTTCCACCGCCCTTTTCTAATCGGTTTCCTGCTCCAGCAACTATCACAATTTCCTCCTCAGTTCCAGGCTGTCTCCTGACGTTTTGGCTTCTAGTACTTGCCTGCAGTCTTTCTAGGAGTGACAAAGTTTATCTCGAGGTGGCTTCTCCCCCGCTTTTCCCTGGGCTCACCTCCAGCACAGCACCCGCACAGCACGCACGCGGAACGCCCGGCGGCGGGTCGCGCGCCCAGGCCGAGCCTTACCCTCGGTGCCCCAAATGCGGACTTTACGGTCACCCCCGCACGAGGCTAGCAGGGTTCCCGTGGGGTTCCAGGCCAGGAACCAGCACCGCGAGTCGGGGTGCGCCGGGACACGGCCCAGCAGCACCAGCGAGTCCTTCATGGCGACCCCGACGCAGAACGTGGAGGGGCTGGGCGCGTGCCCGCGGCAGGCTCCTCCGTGCAGATTCCGGAACCCCAACTCAGCCTCCCAGGACGGCCGGTCTGGCCACTTCCGCCCGAGAATCCCGGTCGACCTGGGAACTGAAGTGCCCGCTAATGCGGCCGCGCTGCCCCCTGGGAGTTGTAGTCGCCCTCCCGCCCCGGCATAAGACGTCGCGGAACCGCTTCGAACTACCAGTCCCGTGAGGCCGCAGGGAGGCTGTGGTGCGCCGGACTATGACGCGAGCGGGGACAGGGCGGGGAGCCGGAGGAGGCGGAGGCCGAGGCAGAGGCGGAGGAAACGGAAGTGGGTCGGATCCGGGTTGGTCCGGGAGTAGTGGGTCTCTAGGGCCTGGGTCGCTTGGCCCGGGCAGCTGAGGGTCCCGGGACGGGACGAGCGGCGCCACCCTTGAGGCCTGCTGACTGGTGAGGAGCAGCGATTGGCGTGGGGAGGGTCTTTTCTGGGCAGCCCAGAGCGCCGTCCCCAGACCCCCGGTCTCCGACCCCCGGGGCTCAGCCTGGTCCTCCCCCCTTGGCACCCTCCGGTCCGGTCTCTCCTCCCGTCAGTAGCCCATACCCTCGCCCTCCAGCCCAATCCTTTCCGGGTCCTCATTCCGCGCCTCCATTCCGGGCACCCAGTCACCGTCTCCGCCCCAGAACCCTGCAGCCCTCGGGTCTCCGCTCGGCCCCAGGTCCCACTCCTCCGGCCTCGGGTGTCCGCCCTGGCAGCCCTGCGGTTCCTCACCTGCGTTCTCCCCGGAACAGGCAGACCCTGCGCCCCCCGGAAGTCGGCGGCGAGCAGCAGCGACCGCGGAACGACGGCGGGCGGCCCCGGGCATGTATGCCCCGGGAGGCGCAGGGCTGCCCGGCGGGCGCCGGCGGAGGAGCCCGGGAGGCAGTGCGCTGCCCAAGCAGCCGGAGCGTAGCCTGGCCTCGGCCCTGCCGGGCGCCTTGTCCATCACGGCGCTGTGCACTGCCCTCGCTGAGCCTGCCTGGTTGCACATCCATGGTGGCACCTGTTCCCGCCAGGAGCTGGGCGTCTCCGACGTCCTGGGCTATGTGCATCCGGACCTGCTGAAAGGTAAGGCCGCCGCGCCCGGGCCTCTTCTTCCCGGGCGCCCCGGGGCTCCTCGGCGGGGAGCAGGATGGGGTGTGGCTGGAGAGCTGACTGCCAGGGCAGGACTTGGTGAAAGGAAACAGACCCTTTGCTGCCTGGTGGTCCGGCCCCTCGTGAATTAGATGTTATTCAGCCAAGCACCAGCTTTCCACTCCATGCTCAAAGTCTGCTGCTCTCTAGGATTCTGCCCTTGGAAGGGCAGTATATGAAGAAAAGATAAGGATGCTGGGCATTAATACTAGCTAAGGAATCTCTGGGATGCGGGGAGGTTTATGCTTAGACTTTAAAATATATTTTCAAATTCTACAGGAGTTGGGTTTTTATTATAGAAAAACGGGAGTCTGTGGCATTTTAGGTAACCAGGAGTCAGTTCCAGCCTCGGTAAAAGTTGGAACTTGGCTCTCAGAACCATACACCTGATGAGGTGAGGTTTCTTTGCTCAGCCAGGTGTGCAGAGGAAAGGGGAAAGAGACTGGACTCCTTACTGGACACAAGGAGGCCACTGCCTGGCGGGGTTGGCTGCTGTCCCAGCCGATAGTTGTTCCTGTCCAGCTCTGTCTCCAGCAGGGAGGGTACAGGCTGTGTAGTGTGAGGCAGGATTGCACTGCCTGGCTTTTACCGGGAGAAACAGTCAGTGGACCCCACACTGCCCTTGGTACAGCACAGTTCATCGCCTCCATGGTCTGTTTTCTCCCTGTGCCACTCTCTGGCTGTGATGTGTTCCAGCTGTCTGCTATGCATGTCTCAGAGGCCCTTCCTGGAGATACACCTTCATGTCGTCCCTTTAAGGACTCAGACACTGGGGTTTGGTGAAAAAGTCAAGTTCTCCTCTATGCCTTGGATCTTACACCACTTTTTGCAGGTCTAGGCTGAAAAGCTGTGCTGTTGTGGCCTAATGTCTTTCTCTGAGAGTTCTCTGTTTTGTGTATCTCTCTCTCTCTCTCTCTCTCTCTCTCTCTCTCTGAGGTTTGAGGTTTTAGAATGATTTAGAGAGCATGATGGGGCTTCTAGTTTCCAGGTTCTTTCCTGATGATAGTCTTCGCTGGGTTGGCTCATTAAGACAGAAGTTATACATATGATGGAGGCCTTGTGACAGGCAGCTTTTTCTCTGGCGTGTAGCTGATGAAAGAAAGGCCATCAAGCTGAAGTTGAATCTGGATGGTTTTCCCTCAGCACATTTCCCTCACTTGTCTTCTTTGAAGCTCAGCTGCCACCACTTCATCCAGACCTGTGCACCTGACCCCTGGTGTTTCAGTGTTTTCAGAGTTTGGTGTCACCTACAAACTGGGAGACAGTTCCCGATGCTGCTCCCTTTCAGCTCATTCCCAGGGAGGCTCAGGAAGTTCGTGTGATGGGGAGAGGCAGTGTGATCGAGGTCTTTATTTCAGAGATCCAAGAAGCTGTGTCTCAGAGAAGTGAAGGCACATTTCCCAGGGCCACACAGCTGGGAGTTGCATAGCTGCGTCTGCCTCATCTCCTGACTCAGTATAAAGTGATACTGTCTCATTTATCCTTTTTATCCTTTATTTCAGCTGTCAGGATTGATCTCAGAGTTATTGTGCTTTGGTGTACATCTTTGTCAAAACCATGTAAAAAGTAAAAGTAAGTTCTTGGTGCGGGAATTGGCCTGCGGACTGAAGGGTCCCGGGTTTGATTCCAGTCAAGGGCACATGCCCATGTTTCGGGCTCAATCCCCAGTGGGGGTTGGGGGGAGGGCATGCAGGAGGCAACTGATCAATGATTCTCTCTATCATTAATGTTCCTCTCTCTTCCCTGAAATCAATTTTAAAAAAAGCACATTGCCTTAACCTTTACGATTGCTCATGTGTTTAGGGATCTTAACCCACAGACGGTTTCGACGTGTGGCCATCTCCTTGGCCACTGCAAGTTAGGAACACTTCCTAAGAGTGTTGATGGTTTCTTCTGATGACTCTGCTTCTTTCCTTTCTCTGTAGTGGTTGGTTTTTGGTACTCAGTGGGCCTTTAAACATGCTGTCCTGTGTGATTACACTGATCCTCAGGACCTAACAGATGTCCTAGCAGGGAAGTCAAGTCTGGTGCCTGTAGATACTTCCAAAGGGAAAACAGACTGCCAAGTCTCTGCAGGTGACAGGGAGCTGGGCCAGCAGGCTTTAGAGCTGTACCTTCCTGTTTCTCAGCCCCCTGAGTGCCAGGCATTGTGCTCAGCACACTTCATGCCTGTCTTTAGTTTATCCTAAACAGCACCTTCAGTCCTAACTGGTTTGGCTCAGAGGATAGAGCGTTGGCCTGCAGACTCAAGGGTCCCATGTTCAATTCCGGTTCAGGGGCATGTACCTTGTTTGCGGGCACATCCTCAGTGGGAGGCGTGAAGGAGGCAGCTGATGGGTGTTTCCCTCTCATCGATGTTTCTAGCTCTCTATCCCTCTCTCTTCCACTCTGGAAAATTAATAAAATAAATTTAAAAAAAACACAAAACACCAAAAAAAACCCCAGCATCTTCATTTGGGACTATCATCACCACCACTTCACTGAGGTCTTAGGCTCAGGGAGGTCAAGTGACATGCCGAGGCCACACAGCTAATCTCCATGGCATGGCCTTCACTCTTACCTAGTATGTTAGTGCCCTCCAGCTGCTTTTCCTTTTGTCAAAGCTGTCCAAGGCTTTTTGCTTCCCCATTATAGTTTTTTTTTCTTTTTTTTTTTTTCTAGTTGAGTTTTTATCACAAGCCCAGCCCAAGCTGTGCTCTTTATTCCTCTTCATCTCCCGGCTCAAGTTGGTGATCTTGAGATTAGGTCTGTCAGTCGCAGAGCCCAGGAGGCTTTAGCAAATGCAGGCTGCCTCAGACAATTCCGTCCTGAGTTTTCCTGCTTCCCAGGGGTGCCAGCTTCTCACAGTGTCTTCAGCCTGGGCTCAGGTCCAGAGATATGCTCAGACCTCTAGTGGCCTCAAGCAGGGGGGGCCCCAGATAATCATTCCCTCTGCACACCAATTCCTCTGCCTCCCAAGTGTGGCAGCGGAGGGCAGCACTGACTGCACCCTGGGAAGTACCTTTGAAGAATGAGGAAGCCTGGGATTTGAAGTCAGGTGAGTCATGATTGCCACTGGAAGTTCAAGGGCCAACCAGAGGGCCTGTATGTCGGAGGGGTAGTGACTGATGTAATTGGCACTTCCAGGTCCTGCTGGGCCTGTCCTCAGGCAGCTTGGCTAGGACCATTGGTATCTCTGGTGATGGGCCAGCCAGGCCCTCTAGGGCCCTGTTGGAATTTTCTGTGGGAAGCCTGCCTGGAAGCTAGTCTCAGTGGGGAGAGGCTATGCAGGTGGGGTGGATGAGTGCTGGGAAGGACGGGGCTGGGGCCAGGGTGATGGGGCAGTGTCTAACTCAGGGACTCCTGTGAGGGGAAGTGAAGGGCAGTGGGACAGAAAAAGGGAACTGGCCAGAGGCCACTTGGGTCTGTTTGGGTTGGGAGGGGCTGGGAGCAGTGGGCAGGTAGACAGGAAGAGCCAGACCTTCAAAACAGTCCTGCCCCATGACTCACCAGTGAGTGACCTTGAGCCAAAGTCAGTGCTTTGGGATCCTATTACACAGCAGCTTCCTCTTCTCTGGTGACTGGAGGGGGCTGTTGAGCCATAGTTACCAAAATAAACAGGCCTCAACGCCACTGGAAGTCAGGATGCCTTCTGTCTGACAAGAGTGTGGTGAGCTGCACCACTGGTTTGAATTTAAAATGAGGACCTTGCCCCAAGAGTCCTTTTTCCTCAGAAATAAAATAATGCCTGCACGCATCTGGGAGTTCTGTTTCCCTTAGCAGCCGTCTCAAGGGAGCAGATATTTGTGGTCCTCCCCTCCACTCTGACGCCTGGCAGGGAAGGAGAGAGTACTGAGATCCTGACCCAGGGGAGCCCGAGTTTGGTCTGAGGGGCCCGGGGTGCTTTGCCTGTCTTCTCTGTGCACCGAGAGTCCGGCTGGGCCGGGGGCAGGTCCTGGGCCATCTGTTAGCATCTCTTCAAGGGACCTTCACATTTGGCTTTCCACTAAGCCGAGGGTTTGCTCACAGCTTTGGAGTGGGAAAGGCAGTCACATAGAAACTAAACCTGTTTGAATTTGGGCCAAGAGCCATACTCCTCATTCTGGCCGGACACACCCTTAGTCTGGCTTTGGCAGGCGCTTTCTCTGGCCCACACGGACTGTGAGCAGGAAGGCACACCAGGGCTGACAGGCTGTGGCCCCGGGAGGGCGTGGGCAGCTACCACGCAGGCTCTGGGCACTCCCTCTCAGTGCGCCCCTGGAGATGGGGCAGGCAGTACTGCCTTCGTGACAGGTGAGAGGGCAGAGATCACGGCAGTAAGTGACTTGCTCACAGTAACACATAGTCTATGCAGGTTCTGATTTGGTGCCTAGTCCAGTGCCTTTCTGATTTCCCTACTGCTTCTGATGGCTGCAGAAGCTTACACCATACCAGCCAGCTTTTGCCTAATAATTCCCGGTATGAGCACTTCTCTTTGTTCAATGCCCCGCACATGTTTTGCCTGGAAGGGATTTTGTGATCTCAGCTGTTCTGCGCTCAGCATCAACTGGCTCCGAGGGTGGCTCTGAGAGCATTTACACTCTGAGAGGCTCTGAGAGGATTCTACACTCACATGCACCATCTAGCATTTGATGCATTGTCTCCATGGGTGATTCTGGCATCACAAGGTTGGGAGCCAGGCCTGGGTTGTGGAACCTGAAGGAGGTCACTTAACATCCTGGAACCTCAGTCCCTCATCTGAGCTGCATGGTGGATCCCCAGTGTGAGGCCTAACTAAGATAATGTTTGACCTGTCAGTGCGCACAGGCTATTCCTGGACGGGACAGAGAAACTGCCAATAATGTTTGTCTCTCGGAGGGGCAGTTGACATGTGGAAAGAAGGGATGTTCTCTCTGAAGCTTTATATCACATGAGACTCTTCTTTATTATCAAAACTAGAGGCCCAGGGCATGAAATTCGTGCATGGGTACAGTCCTACTCCTAGCCTGCAATCAGGGCCATCTTCCCCGGCCACCAGCAGCTGGCCCCACCCCCGCCTCCCCACCACCCCTGGTTCCCAGTTTGCCATCTTGCACCAGAGGTGGGCCTGGCCCAGGATATACTTCGAGCCCGTGTAGGAGGCTGTGGCACGCATCCCTCCTCCTGCCCCCTCTGGAGGCCTGTTCACAGGAGGTGTTTTTTGTGAATTTCTTTCAGATAAGGAATAGGGTGTGGGCTCAGTGCCCGAGAGAGTTCCAGGGGTGGTGGTGATATCAGGGTCACGCCTGAACGTTCACTGCGTTTGTTCGCTGGAGGATTCTACTTGTAGGGTCCTGGGGCATGACAACCCACAAAAAGGTCCCATTGGATTGCAGGTTGCATCAGCACTGAGGAGGGTAAGATCAGGTGCTTTAAGCAGAGAAAATGGAATTCTGAACAGGGTTAGAATTCAGAAGCATCTGGAGCCAGGTTTCTCAACAACCCACCTAACCACCCCTGCCCTGCTACCTTGCTGATGGCTTCTCCCTCCCCCTCAGGGAGCAGGTGGGGAGGATGAGGAGCAACTGTCTGCAGCTGCGCAGGCCTGTGTCTTGGCTGTGGGAAAGAATGCCGGCTTCCGGGGGGGGAGGGACCAAGGGGTTGGCTGTTCCCCCTGCTGGCTGGCCCCGCCCCCCACATCCACCACCACCCACCCTGATTCCCTGTTCCCCATCAGGCAATCAGAGCCTGTTGGCCAGCTCGGGGAAGGGATGATCTATCGGGGCCTGGGGCTGGGGGTAGCTCCTGCGTTGAGCGCCTGCCCCCTGGTGGTAAGTGCACGTCATAGCAACCAGTCATTCTGCCCTTGGGTTGATTTGCATAATACCCTTTTATTATTTTACTAGAGGCCTAATGCACGAAATTTGGGCAAGAATAGACCTTCCTTCCCTCAGCTGCTGGCACTGGTTTCTGGTACCCAGGACCTGGCTCCCCTCCAGCCACCGGCAGACACCCAGGGCCCAGGCTTCCCTCGCAGCCCCGGCTTCGTCCGGAAGGATGTCATATCTAATTACCATATTATGCTTTTATTATTATAGACTATATAGGATAAGTATATTATGGTACACGAGACACATAGTAGTGTATATAATAGATGTACATTTCTAAGGATGATAATAAAATGGACATTCTGTACTCATGCAGCTTAAGAAAGTAGCTTTGAAGCCACCGAGTGTTACTTTTTTACAGTTAAAACTAGTTGTTAAATTAAAACTTAGTATCTTTTTAAAAATATATATTTTTATTGATTCTGAGAGAGAGAGAGATATTTATGAGAGGGGCTGCCTCCTGCAGGCCCTGTGCTGGGGATCAAGCCCAGTGACCTCTTGGTGCCTGGGTCAATGCTCAACCACTGGGCCATGCTGGCTGGTCAAAACTTAGTGGATTTTTAAGAACCACAATTAAAGCCCAAGTGCCTGGGTGTATTTGCGGATGGATCACGAGAATTCTTGTGTTTTCTGTTCTAAGGCTTGTGGCCAATCATGGCATTTCTTTAAAAAGAGATTAGCTTGTAAGAACATGTAATAAATAACTTCAAAATGCAATGGGTATTTAATTTTAAGGCGTGCCTTTAACATTTATGTACAGTGTTTTCTGTACTCGTTCATTAGAAACTTATCTGGCCACTGGGTAAAGCTAGCAGTAAAACTACTGGTCCGCAGTGTGTTCAGTGATCTGAGCACAGCCTGCTGCAGAGTGGAGTGTTCTGCAAGCTCTTGCACCCTGCTGCTCTGGTTATTCTTGGAAGCACTAGAAGAAAGAACTTTCATCCTGCCCCATCCCTGCTCATGCACGCGGACCGAGAACTGTCTCAGAGCGCTTTTAGCGATATTCAGAGGAAAGCCAGGGGCCAGTCCCCGTCTCCAGGAGCTCTTCCTTCAGCGGAACCTGCAGGCCCACGGCAGCCTTAGGCTGGCGGGCTGGAGGAAATGGAGCCTGGCCTGGTCACTGGCAACCATCACACAGACAAGCCTCCTGGTAGTAAGTGAACACCAGGTTGGATGATCGCGCCCAAAACAGATGGTCAGCTGATAGCTGACAAGAAGGTGACAGATAGCTCTGAGGACAGCTTAGTGGGTGACCTAAAGCTAGATCGCGGCATGAGTCTGGAATGGGCTCAACCACCATCTGCCTGGTGAATCCTGAGCCTGAGGCAGGGAGTGCGTGCTGACACACAGTCACAAAGGCCCGGGGTCTCCTGGTATCTGCTTGGTTCTGTGGTCCGGATGCCAGGCCCTCTGCCAGGCACCCAATGATGCCACTGACTTGGTTTGAGTTTGCTTTGTTGGGTTTAGGTCTACATCCCAAGTTCTTGGCCTTTTCCTCTCAGTCCCCTGTCTTCCAGGCCTAGGATATGTGTTTCTTGGAGTGTAAAGCTTGAGCCACCTTGCATGGGAATCACCTAGGTTGCCTATTAAAATCCATATTCCTAGGCCCTGATCCAGACTGAGAGCTTCGAGCTTCTGGGGCCTGGGCAGGTGCTTTCAGCCGGCACACCAGGGACTGCCATGACCACCATTTCCCGCCCCAGCCTGTGGTCAGGACTCGGGAGAGCAGCCTGTAGTCTAAGCCAGAGCTCCCAGATTTTCCTGTCACGTGATGACCCATGACCTAAGTGAAAGAAGAGCCGGCCGGTGGCTGGAACAGAGGAGAGAGGGGAAGGCGCGTTTCCTATTTTGGAAGTTTAAACAGCTTCTTTTCAGATCGGCCTTTTTTCTGTCTGTTTCTAGGAGCTGTGGCATTTTGCACAGATGTCACAGGGTCTGACACCGTTTCGGTGGAATTTAAAAGAATGAGAATGGTATGATGTCCAGGAGGGCGTCTCGGGGGCTGTGTGTGTGGTGTACAGTTGACTTCTCCCTTCACCGTGATCCTGTGGGACTCTGAATGTGGGGTCTCCTTTTCCGGCAGCTTCCTTGGCCTTGGTTTGCTCCCTCGCTTTGGGGGAGTGTGCACCCTGACTGGCTTTGCACTCGTTTTAGGAGGCGTTTGGTACTCAGTGTCTGAGCTCCGGAGGCTTTCGTGGTATAAATCTGGTTGCGTCTTAGCCTTCCCACTTCTGGCTGACACTTCAGCTCAGTCTGCTAAGGCACTTCTAAGCCCCTTTATGTTCCCGTTTCCAGAATTGTGTTTTGCTCCTCTCCCTGTGGTGTAGGTTTATGTCTTTAAAACATTTTGTTTCTTTTTGTTTTAGAATATGGAGTGAACAAAAATAAATGTGAAGGTCCAGCCTACCACCTTTCCTAACTTATTTAGTACACTCTTGTAAGGATATATTTTTCTAAATGGCTTCAGATTCTTTTTGAACACAAATGGGGATGAATGAGTGGCTGAATGGAGAATGGAATTGATGGGCCTCTAGCCTTGCCTCTGGCCATCTCAGCGCAGCAGTCCGTGGGCTGCTGCCTACTAATTGTCAGTGTCTTTAAAGATGCTCAGAAGATCATGGCCAGTACAACAAAGTAGAGGCCTTCACTTAGCCTAGGTGTTTTTTTTTAATTAAAAAAAATTTTTTTTTATTGATTTCAAAGAGGAAAGGGAGTGAGATAAAAATATTAATGATGAATGAGCCAGCAACCTAGGCATGTGCCCCAGCCAGGAATTGAACCGTGACCTGGTTCATAGGTTGACGCACAACCACTAGAGCTAGACTGGTTTTTTGGAAGGGAAGGGGTTGAGTGCATGGAAGCAGCGGCCAGGGTTCCTGTCTGCCAGTTCGGCCACCTCTGTGGGCCAGCTGGGAGCAAGAGTTCTGAGCAATTTTTCTAGGACTCCCCTGCACTCCAGGCCTGTGGCTGAGGGGGACAAACCCCTCCCAGGTGGGGACTCCAGGGTGCAGCTTGCGGTCCTGAAGGTCTGGTTTCCCCACTACAGACTTCTGCATGAATCCCCAGACGGTGCTGCTCCTGCGGGTCATTGCCGCCTTCTGCTTCCTGGGCATCCTGTGCAGCCTCTCCGCATTCCTCCTTGATGTTTTTGGGCCCAAGCATCCGGCCCTGAAGATCACGCGTCGCTATGCCTTCGCCCACATCCTTACGGGTAAGTCCAGGGTGCTCCCGGGGGGGAACTGCCACAGGACGGGGCACGTCTGGGGTTGTAGTGGGGATGACGGGCTTTCTCTGAGCAGGCATCGGCCCAGATGCTCATTTCACCTCTAGCCTTTCCTGGAGCACTGGGCGTGATAGCAGCTTGCTTTAATTCCCCCGGAAATCTCCAAGCTCTCCAGGAACTGGGTGTGAAGCTCGGCTGGACTCCTGGGCCTGGAATGAGCAGAGTGTCTCACTGTGTCTCCCCTGGGGTTCCCGGTCCCATCGGACTCTTTCCTCCCCTTTTGCTTCCCCACAGACTGGGCTGGGAGTTGATTGGATGTGTGGTGGTGCGAACTCCAGTCCCAAACTGCATGGCCTTGTCTGTGTCCTGACTTCTAGCAGCCCTCAGGGTCCATCTCCAGATTCTTAAGATGGAGAGACTTGACGGGCCCAGACGGGTCGTGCATCTGTCCCAGTCTCCGCCCAAGAACCCCATGGCCCAGAGAGCTCCCCCTTGCAGGATCCAGGGCCACGCAGGTTCTCTGACACGGGGTTTGGGTGCAGAGGCTGCAGTTGGTTCCTTAATCATCCCAGCTGCACGATGCCTGCTAACCCCTTTCTGTGCTGTCCCTCTGTCCCGCAGTCCTGCAGTGTGCTACTGTCATCGGCTTTTCCTACTGGGCTTCCGAACTCATCCTGGCCCAGCAGCAGCAGCATAAGAAGTACCATGGTTCCCAGGTGTATGTCACCTTTGCTGTTAGTTTCTACCTGGTGGCAGGAGCTGGCGGAGCCTCAATCCTGGCCACGGCAGCCAATCTCCTGCGCCACTACCCGACAGAGGAGGAGGAGCAAGCGCTGGAGCTGCTGTCTGAGATGGAGGAGACCGAGCCCTACCCCTCGGAATATGAGGTCATCAACCAATTCCAGCCGCCCCCGGCCTACACACCCTGATGCCAGCCTAGGCCTTCCTCCCTGCTCCACTCGGCGGCTCCTCCCACAGAGGAGTGCCTTCCCCCAGCAGGCCTCACTGGTAGGATCCTGAGCATCTTCACCAAACCTGCCCCAGGAGAGAGACTGCCCTTTGGGTTGTTCATGTATCCTTGCTCTTGAAACCTGGGGCTCATGGATTTTATATCATGCACTGTTTCCCCTCTTGCCACCTCCCTGTCCCTGAGGTCACTAGTCATTACCAACCAGGGATGGTCATACACAGTTTCTCCCTTCATGGGCCATCTTTCACACCAGAACTTTCTTCCCGTGGGGTGCTACTGACAGAGGACTGTCTCAGAAAGAGGTGTCACCAGGGCCCAAGAGCAAGGGGACTGTGCCCTGCAGGCTTCCCTCATGTGGTCAGCGCCCATTCCACGGGCTGACCCGCCCCTTCCTTCTCGGAGTGCCCAGTGGCAGGCCCCACTCTGGAGATCTCTGCACTTTAGTCTTTGGACTTCCCGTCCTCTGTGTTCTGGTTGACGGGAGACGGAATTGCTGTTGGGAAGCAGAGCAAGTCTTGTCCCCGCCCTGCCCTGGCTTAGGTGGCTGGAGCCCAGGAAAGGAGAGCAGTGGGAATGGGCCTGAGGTCTCCCGGTACCCAGAGAGGGTCAGAGTGAAGGGGCCCCTTCACCTTTCAAAATTGAGTGGTTTTAAATGGAAAAAACAAAACCAAGCAACAGCAACAATCGCCTGTTTTTAAACTAGCGACAAGACTTGTCATTTTATCGATGTTTATCCCATTCTTTTGGGCTCTGCACTGTTTTGAGCCACAGCTCCTCACAGCCCACAGTAGTTTCTCCCTGAACTTCTTCCAGCAGAATGCACCCCTCCTCCCTGCCCCCCTCCCAGGGCCTTCCTGTGGGACCCAGAGCCCCTCAGCAGAGGGCTGAGGCCTAGGGCCTGGCTGGCCGGCCAGCGTGGTGCTCCTCAGGGCTGGACTGAGGTGTAACCTGGCCTCCGTGCAGGAACAGAGGTCACGGGGCATCCTCCACATAGGAATCACAACCAGGGGCCCGTTGCCGGAGGACGACAGAGCTGGCTGTGTCTTTCAGGCTTAGTGCCTCTCCTAAACTGTGACATGGGCAACAGCTTGCTGCATGCCCCTCCCCTCCTTGAATGTTCTCTGGCCTTGCATCGTGCTACTTGCTGGCTCTTTCTTGCCCAGCCATCATTCTGGCTTTCCCGTTGGCCACACATGACTCTGGGTCTGGCTGAATTTTCTGCCCTGAGGTCAGCGTAAAAGTGGGAGAAACTCGAGAAACCATCAGTATGGATCCAGATGGCCAAGCGTCTTTGGGATCAGTGTTCATTGCGGAGCTGAAAAGCATTTGGGTTCCAATCTCCTGCAGGTGACCGAGCACGACCAGAGAGTGGATACTGCTATTGAACGGTGGCTGGGAAGGAACGTTACGTGCCTCATCCTTGGGCCAGACCACGTGGGGATGTCTGGACACACATCTGTATGGATGGTGAAGCCCATGTCTGCACATGAATGGTGGCTGCCTGGAGTTCACTGTGATGCCAAAGTGTGTCCCATTGTGACTGTCACCCCAGACTCCACTGTCAGGCAGGAAAGACCCCCGTGTGGGACCTGCGCACAAAGCCAAGGAGCTGCATTGCCTTGTCTTTCTATCAAGTCCGAGTTTGTCCGGCAGATAGCTAGGGTGTGGCCAGCTCTCGCTGACCGTGGGTGCTTGGGTGTCTGAGGGGCAGATCAGGAGACCAGGCACCAGACACGCATGCCAAAATGACCGTCATCTCGTGAGGCCTCAGACATGACCCTGTGGACTGTTCCATGTAATCCAGAACCCACCTTTTGTTAACTGTCCACGTCTCCGGCCTTTCTCTTCCCCTGCTATCCTGACACTGTCATATAAATCCCCCTGGTTGTGTTTTTTCTTTTTTTCTAGGAAAAACAAATAAAAACAGAACAAATGAACATAAACCACAAGTAAGAATGTAAATGCCAGTGGCTCCCTGTCGTTTTTCTGTCACAACTTTCCTGAGTTGGTTTGCTCCCATCCTCTGGGAGAAGCAGGGCAAAGTGATGAAGTGTAATTTAAAACGTCAGAGGGCCAGCCGGTGTGTCTCCGTGACTGCAACGACCTATGAACCAGGAGGTCCTGGTTCGATTCCTGGTCAGGGCATGTGCCTGGGTTGAGGGCTCAATTCCCCATTAAGGGAAATGATGATTCTTATCAGCCGATCAATGATTCTTATGTTTCTCTCTCCCTGGCTCTTCCTCTCTGGAATTAATAAAAATACATCTATACAAAAAACGTCAGGGAGTGCATGTGCCTACTTTGGGCAAGGCACTTCCATTTAGAAGCTCATCTAACAGACCCTCCCATCGCCGGGCGCCATGGAGCCTGAGTGGGTGAGCAGAGAATGATTCTTGTCCTGTTTGGGGAGAAATAGACTCAGGGCAAAGGGACTGCATCTTCTTTTGAAACCATAGGGAGTGGTTACTTCCTTACTGGGAGAGGCCTGTGAGTGCCGGTGGTCCGGGGTGTGACCTGCAGGAGAGCCTTCAGTGTTGGTTCCTTACAGGTCTACCCACATCCCATTCATCCATTTCTGCGCTCAGCTGGCATGCTGGCCCCCAAATGTGCATCACAGTAAAAGACCCTTTGAGGAACAGCCTGTTTTGGTGGTTTTAAACAATTTTATTTTCATTCCTGGGAAGAGCACACATCTTTCTCGGGGTCTAGGAATGTGTCCTCTCCCATTTAATTTCAGGGATTCATCAATGATTGTTGATTGTTACTTCAACTTGTGCTTTGTCCAAAGCATGTGAGATGCCATGAGGGAAACGCCATGACCCTCAGGACCCTGTCTCCAAGGGCTTTATAGTCTCAGTTCTGGAGATGGACTTTTCCACGGAAAGGCAGTAAGTGGTCCAGTGGACAGCTGGGAAAGGGGCTGTGCCCGAGGCTCTGACCTGAGTACAGAGGTTTCCTGATGTCAGCTGGAGCCAGGTTCAATGTGAGTATTCAGAGGTGAGGAGAGGCAATTCCTGAGGAGGGGCTAGCAAGGGTGAGGCACAACTGGTGGCCAAGGCGTGGCAAGAGTAGAGGTTAGCGAGGTGAGGGGGCCCATTGACGGCACTAAGAGCAGTGGGGAGCCCTGGAAGGGTTGGTTCTGAGAAAAAAAAAAAAGGAGGAGTAGGTTTTCCTTTTCTGTTAGTCCTCACCCAAGGATATTTTTTTTCATTGATATTTTAGAGGAGAGAAAAAACCATCAACGTGAGAGAGACACATTGATTGTGTCCAACTAGGGCTCAGGATCGAACCTGCAACCCACGTACATGTCCTTGACCAGAAATCAAACCTATGACTGATGCTCCAGCCACCGAACCACACTGGCCAGGTCAAGAAAGAATGAGATTTTTATTTTTAAATCAGGTTTTTCTTAGTGACTGGTGACAGTGTGAGGAGGGAGTCTTGCGTCAGTGAAGAGTCAAGGCCTGGGAAGGAAGCATGGATGGGAATGGTGTGGAGTCCTGGAACCTGGCCAAAGGGGAGGAGGAGAGCAGTCAGAGTTGGCCCCAGTCTATTGGCTCAGCAGTGGGGAGTGGGGAACCAGAAGCCCCAGTCCCTGCCGACTTGTCAGGAGCTGGAAACTGGAGGCAGTGCCACAGGCTGAGAAGGCTCAGTGAGAAGAGCAGGATGTGAAGGGCAGCAGGAACGTGGAGGCCCTGAGCCCAGCTGTGTCTCTGAGTGTGGCCATGGAGGAACTTTCAGAGGGACTGCTGCGCCATCTGGTTGAAGGGCTGCAGGGCTCTATGAGGAGGGGGCCTGGAGGGACAGGGCGCAGGCAGCCCTTTCGGAACCTCCCTGCCCTCCTGGCTGCAGTGGGACCGCGGCCAGCCCTGTGAAGGAGCGCTTCTGATGCTGGGGGTCCCCCTGGCCAGTCCCTGCCCCCCTTGGTTTGACCTTATTCTCGGGGTTCTCACCTAGATTTCTAGGGCCACTGCTGTTGGAGAGTTTCCTTCTGGAATGACCTGGGTGGGGAGTGTCTTTGTTTTAACAAGGGAAGCATGTTCCATATTCTTTCTCCCCCCCCTTTCCCCCCCTGCGTTCAATAGGAGTGGCGACAGAAATTTGCACGTGTGCACTCTTACACCATTTCTGTCACCTGTCTTCCATGCTTTCTTTTGCAACGCTCACCTTTCAAAAGGAGGAAGCTATTAGCATATGCCTTGCCCTGTGGGGACTTCCAGTCTGGCTGTCAGGGGAGGAAACCTGATGAGGCAAAAACTTGACACCCGGCACTTGATGCCCCTTGAGATGATGGTCTAGGGCGGCTTCATGAAGGAGGGGAGATGGCATGCCGGCCTGGAAGAATGAGGAGCCTTTCACGAGAGACGGATGTAATCAGAGAAAGGAGACTATTACTTATGACATAGCAATAAAGTATCACCATTTTTGTGCCAGATCTCTGAGTCCTCCTTCCCACAGGGTGATGTGAAGATGGCCAGGTGACGTTTGCATGCACACCGAGTGGTATCACAGAAAAGGAACAGTGAGCTTAGAAAACACATGTCTTTTAAAAACATTTTTATTTCAGAGAGAGAGAGAGAGAGAAATAGAAACATCAATCATGAGAGCAAATTATTGATTGACTGCCTCCTGCACACCCCCTATTGGAGACTGAGCCTGCAACCTGGGAATATGCCCTGACCTGGAATGGAACCGGTGACCTCCTGGTTCATGGTTCAACACTCAACCACTGAGCCACTATTTTAATAAAACCCACATCTTTTAATGGCAGTAAGAACATCTTCTCTTGACTCACAGGAGACCATCTCCATCTCCTAGGGCTGAAAGCAACCCTGCCCTCTGTTCCAGAGGCTGACCCGCTCTTCCAAAACTGTTCCCTACACACAAAGGAACAGGGGCAGACAGTGCCCCGTGCAAGACAAGCAGAACCACGAGGGACCCCCAGAGAACTGTCTCCCATCAAGGCAACATGTAGCTTTCACTTTTGGGAATCGGTTTTATGAACGAGCACTCTCTCCAATAGAAAGTTTCTTCTATACAAGTCAACTAAAGACGCCACCTAATTTCATAAAGGTCATGGAGTAGTCATTCCTTGCTGTGGAACAATATCACCACAGCCTAGAGACACTGCACATTCCTAAGTGACAGCTTCTGTGGTTAGGAGCAGGGCATGCAAGTGGTCCCTCTGATTCGGGTCTCATGAGACCAGGGATTTGGCTGGGACTGTGGTCTCCCCTGAGTGTCTGGGAGCAAAGGAGGTGCTTCCAGTCTCACCCTGGTTGTGGGCAGAATTTGTTTTCCTGCAGGTGTGGGGCTGAGGGGTGGGTTTCTTGTGGCTGTGGCTGCAGGAATCTTCAGCTCTGAGCGGCCACAGGGAGCTTCAGGGGCAACCCCAGCCCAGCCGCTTGCTGCTGCACAGCCCCCAGAGCAGAGGGCCAGCAATTCCACAGAAAGGGCCCTGCAGTCTGTGTGAAGGACCCTTCAATGTGTTGGGGCCACCACAGTGGACATGCGCTCTCCCGCTGTCTTCAGATGTGTTCCTGACAGGGGATGGGGAGTGGGGTGGGAGCTTGCTGGGATCAAGATAAGGGACGTGTGTGCCAGGATGTCCTACCAGGAGCTACCATTTAGGATTGAGTGAGTGTGTGTGTGTGTGTGTGTGTGTGTATGTGTGGAGGGTGTGGGCACTAGGTGCCCGTGGACTAAGAAACTTGAGAGAAGTGGCTGCTGAATGCTTTGGATGATCTGTGATTGTGAATCAGAGTAGTTAGATGTTAGGAGAATTTTTTGACAAGTGGGAAAAGGCAAACTGAGATGGATAGACAAATGGGGTCAATTTGAGCAATTTACAGCCTGCTAATAAATTGCAAAGTCTTATCTTCCCTAACCAAGGACACTTGAGAGCAAATGGTTTACAATTCTTCCTAAAGTAAATAGCTTAACTCACTCTGGTCAGGGAGATAACAGAGACCCAGTCAGTGTCATTAATGCCAGCCAAACCCCCGCACAAATGAAGTCAGGGGGACAAATAAGAAAAAAACCCTAATTAGAACTAAGCAAATCCAAGACAGAGGTAAAATTCACCAGAAAATGACCCTGGTCCCTCTGTTTGCTCAGTTTGACACATCAGCATATTAAAGAACACACCTGGAAAGCTGAGGAATATTTTGCTGAGGCCCTCCCCTAGGATTCCTGCCGTCAGAAAACAAATGAGGACCCTTAAAGCAAAGGACCCAACTGTGCTCTCCTTGGACAATGCCCACACCCCTTCTTTTCTGGGGCATGTACTTTTGCTCTCCTAAACTCTGAAGGTCCCCACTAGACTTGCAACCAGGAGAGCAGTGGGTAACTATAGCTCCCGGGCTAACACCGGGAACTGCCTCCAAGCCCCCGACACCCTTCTCTGACTTTTTAGTGAGTTAACAGCAGCCTCACCTTGGCTCACTTCCGTCATTGTGACTTTTACTTCTCAGCGAGTCCTCGAAACC